CTCTTGCAGCTATTGAACATCACAACATAGGCCTAATAACGTGAGTGGAGGTAACAGTGTTCATTATTGTCGATGCATTCAGTGTTCAGAAAGTACAAAAAAAGCGAAGCCGAGAAAAAGTCCAGGTTTGGAAAAGGAGGTTTACTTCTGCGCATTTCAGGAAGAAAAACAGAGGATGAATGACAAATGAGCGTCACCGTGAAGACTCTCTGTGTGTAGGCTTACATTACTATTCTTTTTTTTTTTTAAAGAAGAAAGTTGGTCGTGCATACCCTGCATTATACGCGCGCGAAGCTGAGTTTGGCATATGACGATATGTGACAGAGGGAACCCACCCCCTCCTTGTGTTGGTCATTGTGGTACCCGAATCTCAGGAATTCTTTTGAGATATCTAGGGGGATGAGTTAGGTAACAATTGTCTAGGGTGCGTATATGGTATAGGGAGATTGGGGGGGGGGGGGTACCCCTCTGTCACATATCGTGCTGTATAGAGTTTGGAAAGAACACAATGACATCTGTTCCCGAACGAGGTGCATTATTTGTGCCCTCCCAAAACGGAAACTTTAGCTTTTTTCCCCACCAAGTTTTCTTCTCGGTAGTAAGGATCGGAAGCACGTCTTAAAGGTTTATACAAGTGGAGTTTAAAATAACAAATATATATATATATATACTTATATATCAATAAACGGTGGAAAAATAGGAATTTGTTGCAGATTTTTTTTTCTTGAAAGTTCGTTAATTTTAGTGTGGACAGTTTCACGATAATTTTATGAAGTTTACCAAGCATTTTCAATAAAATTCATGTTTGTACAAAGTGGTTTTGGCGCTAAGGCTGCTATTTGTGCTGCTGCGGCACGTTCACCGGCACTCCAAATAAAAATGAAACAAAACGACCGCAATGCTGTAATCATTCGGCTGTGAAATTCATTCCATCTGCATTCGTGTTCAGTCCAAAGCTATTGATAACTATTTTTTATGCAGTAACTCGGCAGGTGCTTTATGTTTCTACTGAATACCAATTGAGTAACTTGTGTGCTCCACTGTGTATTTGCACTTTTATTCATCAGTGTTCGAATACTAGCCTATTACTTCTACTTGAATGACCTGCGAATATCAGCGTTAAAAAAAAAGCAGGACAGCTCGAAAAGATGCACCTGTACGTTACAAAGGGCAAGGTTTTTCGAACAGGTTCGAGACCAGTTTGGTTGGCTAGGCAGCCAAGATTCACACACTCAAGTGGGCACACGGGTTGGTCACTTGGGCCAATGTAGGTCAACATACCAACTGCCTTCACTCTTGGGCAAATTCTCTCCTACAGTTGGTCAAAATGTTTAATACCTGAATTAACCAACAATGAGATAGCCTCAAGCCAATGTTTGGTCCATAACATTGCCCATTTTTTTTTTTTTACAGTGCAGGCCGTCGGTGTTTTACTTCCCCTTCCAAAGGCTATTTTCACAAGTCGGCCATATTAAACTGAAAGCGAGGTAATTGAAATCTTCTTTTTTGGAGCTTGCGAAAGCAAATGAAAGCAATGACATAAAGTTAATTACAAATTAGTTCCAGTCTGCTCGAATTTAACATTTGGGTTTTTTTTCGTAATGGAAACTTTGTTGCCACAAAAATAACATTCATAGTTTTCAGAATTAAGAACTGATTTCAGAACCAGAACTTTCCTTCGATTTTGCCGGAACCCACTATGTTTTTCTTGCATGCGGCAGATCGTTTATCCTCCTACAAACGAAAGTATTGTGCGCATGTGCAGTTGTCTGCACAATGAAATTTCGATTAGGTTAACAAAGCATGACCCCGAACGCACACGTGTTTTGTAAACATTATGATTTATGTTTTGCATTATCTACGATTTATACAAGCGTGACCAAGACAGCTGTATAGGCCTATCTATTCTGTTGTCCGTAATATCGTATTTGCATAGTGCTTGTTAATAACAGGGTCCCTCTTTATAATAACCGAGGTTTAGCCTAGGGATATACTCTTACAATGTTTCATAAACAAAAGGGGCGCCTGCAGAACACATCACGCACAATAAGTGTGAAGCTCAACATGTGGAGCACGTAATCATTTACCAGCGCGTGCCCACGCGCCTCTCGCACATTTTGTAAAACTTTCTCGATACAGTTTTTGAGACCTTTTTTTTCGCAGTGAATGCCAACACTGAATGACATATTAGAAACCTGTCCATCAGTATATACAATTTCAATGACAGGTGATGGGTATAATAGTTAATACATGAATGGATTATACACTAGCTTATTAGTTCAAGTTCAGTAACCATCCCTAAATGTAGGTCCCCCCCCCCCCAAAAAAAAAATAATGATGATAAAATAAATAAAATAAACCTAATGAAAATAAAATAAATAATAACCATGAAAAAGTATACAAACTATTAAAAAAATATTGAAAAGTAGACGAACGAAAAGCAAAGAAAGGAGGGAATTTAGTTTGGAAAAATGTGCCGATCATGACACCGTGTGAGGCTACTATCTGTATAAAATGAGAAGTGGTTCTGAGGTGAACGTGATGTGCCAACTCAACATTTCGGTGAGCATGCTCTGACCGTCAGCAGACGAATACCTAAGCTCTAGCGTCATCAAGTCATCAAACAAACGACAGAGGGCTCCAGCGTGCATCGATCAACGAAGCGTGAATTGAGGGACGGTGCAATAAGGGATGGAGTTGCATCCTAAAAAGGAAGTGAAAAGGAGTTCAACAACAGCAACGGTTTACACTCTAATTTCGGATATTCCACGTTTACCATTAATTAAAACTTGTCAGCCAGCACGGCGCAATGGTTTATGTGGATTTTAATTATGACGTAGCACATCTTACAAGAGAAGTTAAAAACAAAAACGGGAAAGACGATCGTAGTAGTAGACTTAGTCTTGGAACCGGGTATTCCAAGAACCGACATGTCGTGGCCTTATACTCAGCTCCATATTAATGGTTCCATTACCCGAAACAGACTCTTTGAATTCCAAAGTGACAAACTTTATCTTTAAAACTACCAGCCAACAGTCTTTAAGTCTAATTACCGAGCAATGGGATTCTGTTTGTACGATTTTTTGGGTTTTTTTTTCGTTGAGCACAAATCAAGAAATGTAGTTGATTTCCAAGGATCAGTCAATTGACAGATTTTATTTTTTATTTCATTTCATTCATTTTTTTTTTTAATGAAGAGTGCTGAAGACGAAATTGCGTGGCTTTTCACTCAGTTTTCCACTGAGCTGAAAATTCAACAGGATAGGTTTGGAAGATTCTTCTTACGATTTTGAGAGGTGTTATTATCGGAAACAAACAAAATGCATAAAAAGCAAATGATCCCATACACCTTATAATATTTTCAATTCGAATTGAGTTTTCATGTTAGACCGTATTCAAAGCCCAATGTACTTAGATATTAATACTGTAAATTTCCATCACGATATCGCGGTATGAAACTGAGATGTGACCACGCCCACAGGAGTCAGTATTATTTTGTTAGTGGTTGCCATGGAGTTCCGGTAAGCACTGAACCAGCGCCCCCACACATCAAAGCATAAACAAAGTGACTATTCACACGTATAACGTATACGCATATTCTGAAATGACTCATTCGCCACAGAACGAGATTATCAATGGCTGATAGTGTAACTGTATTTTTGTCATTTCGGGGGGGGGGGGGGCATTTTGTGAATTTTGTGGTTTCTGATCATTTCGGGGGGCATTTTGTGAATTTGGGGGTTTCTGATCGAAATGTTTCCTTGATTCGAAAGTGCACTTCGCCTAACCCCTTATCTCTCAGAATTGGGAGCAGACTTGACTCAAGCAAAGTAGTTGAATGAAAGATCAATTGATGTAATCGTTCAAAAGTAAAATTTCCTTTACAAAAAGACGAACAAAAATATATGCTCGTGACAATTACAAGTCAACAAATCGAATACTTAAGTATAGGTGAAAAATCGCACAAAATATTTCTTCACACTAGTCTGACAGATGTCAGTATTATCTCACATACTTAGAGACAGTTTGTTTATCAAGAAAAGTCATGTTTTATTCTGTTGTGTTTGATTTCTGCTACAGGTCATTGCATTTTATTTCAAATTATCTTAAAATGAAATACATTTTTTTAGTGAAAACTTAAGTAATACCATAGGTTTCCAGTAATATCAGAATGTCAATCCTTTAAACTTTTAGAAAATTTCCTATTTTAAAATGTTTCCCTCATTGAAAAATCTCGATGTGTTAACCGGATGCGAGTTGTTTCGTAACAAACTAATTATTAACCTTGTTGTCAGACTACAATCACATCATGCAGAACTGAGTGATGCACGCAATTTGTTTTTCATTGTTCTGTCTTTGTGATTTTGTTTTTGTTTGTTTATTTGATGACGTAGGGAACTTTCAGTGTACAAAAGAAAGCGTTAATGCGTGGTTACAGGCGCCATATAGCCCTGGAATGCCATGACCGCATTTCAAGCGTTCTATGAAAATGGAAAGTTATGATCAGGGCCATGGCCACGCTTCAGTTGCTTGGTAACACAAAAGTTTGTCACGGTCTGTTGGCGCGCATGCGCGCAGCCGGCTTCAAGTCATGAGCGCAGAACGGACTGCATAGCCGAACTTCCGCATAGGTTCGGCACGCCTTTAAAGCAGGCCAGACCAATAAAAAGTGAGGTTTGCGGGTCAAGAACAAAATACCGCACAAGTACGTTATGATATAAGTTATTTTAACGACTTGTGTTGCAAAAATGCAGCTCCTGAAGTTATATGAATTGCTGTCTATTGTTGTTGATTTACTGATAAAACAACTGTCTTTACTGTCGCATAATCAGATGGTTTCCAACATGTGGTATTGTATCCGCTTGGAGGCGCAACGTGAACTTTCATTTGTGTGGCCAGGCTGGTGAGTGGCTTGTGGGATGACGAATTTAGAGCCAAGTTTTGTTCCCACTTATTTACGTAGTTCGAGCCGGGGATATGGAAGCGCGTGGGTGCACGACATGGCACGGTTTAGTCAGAAGAACGGTAACCGCAGTTGCTGAAGGCTCAACAACTTGATTTTTTCCCAATGGCAAATGCTCTGTCTGTGTCGGTGTGAAAGTTCTTAAACCTAAGCATACTGTTGTCAGACCAACTTAACTCTGCAAGTGAAGACACTGAACTGACCGTTTCAATGAACTGAGCATCATTTCTGATCGAGAATATCGTCGAATACGTGTTTTTTTTGTGGTCAAGGTTGATTACGCCGTGTACCATGGAATCAATACGCCACGTCTGCATAGCGTGTGTGCTGTCGCTGGTTCTCGTCCACGTTGCGTTCTCGGCAGATAAGAGTAAGTTCAATATTATTTTTTTCTTGCCCACGCCTTTACGTCGCATTATTTTCTTCTGTGTCTGGGAATAAATTTTTCTTGAACGGAATATAAGTGACACTGTTTTAAACGAGTGAGAACAGTATGTAACTGGTTTTAGTATATTTTGAAAACATGTTATTCTTCTGTAAACAATAAAGACGTCCAATGTAAACAACCGGTTTTTCCGTCTTTTCTCAGGAACGTTAAGACATTAGGTTGGTTTCCTTTCAACCAGACGCTTGAAATAGTATAAGTAAACAATCCAAAACATGACATTTTCGAGGATTTTAGGCCGTAATAATTAAACAGAAACTACTGTCCTATATGCAGCGTGGCCGTGTGCCAACATGTCCTCGTGGGGCTATAGACATAATAGCGCATAATAAGCGTGGGCGGAGGGGTATTGACCCGAAAATCCCCGAACGTCACTTTGAATTCGCGTGTCTTGCAATTTGACGTCTGCATTGAAATGTGCACTGTTTTTTCCCCTACAATAAGGACACTGCGCAGTCGAATATAAACAAGAAAAACTTAATTGTTTGATTTGGGATTTTACTGGAGTTGTAGGTGTTTGTCTGTTAATAAGTGTGCATTTATCTGTTTGTCCTTCTTAGCTGCGGGATAGTAGCTCAACAAATCATCACGTCTCTCTGTTAGTCAGTTAGCTAGTAACAAACGTTGACATTGTCTATTGCTCCTACACATTTTGACCGATTTCAACCAATCTTTGTCAAAAGTAGTAACCCGGTCCCAACATGCCACATGACCAAACTGGGGTCAAAGGTCGTCAGGAGGTTAACTGGGGTCAAAATTCTGATGTTTTTGAAAACCAATTCGTTGGCCCACATACAGCTTCCGAGATATGTCCGATCGAGCCTGTTTTCCCTCTTAACTGCGTGAATTAGTTTGCTTATTTTGATATTTTGTCACGTTTTCGTATATAGACTGAATAAAGGGAATATCTTCTGTTGATAACCTTTAGAATTATAATAAGATAATATGGGCAACTTCAAAACCATGTGTCTGAGTAGGAAGAAACACTTAGTTCTCTCACTCGGGAGAAAATGAAAACAATAATTTTAATCACTCCTTCGATCACTGACATCATGAATTATCCGAGGGCTGCAGCTAAATACTATTATATGTAAGCTCAACGATTTTAACGAAGGAAACGTTTTGCGTCTGCAAACGGTCCAAAAGCCTTTCCATGCACACGTTTCCAGTCTGTTTTGCTTCCGTTGCATATTGTAAAAACATGCAAGAAAACGTCAAAACTGATAAAAAAATCTAGTTCAAACGAAGTAGCTCTTTAACCAAGCAGTGTATCCGACACGTGTCTTTTTGGTACGATGACATTTAAGCCTGCATATTAAGTTTCCCTCTGAAACCTTATCTCCGACGTGACCGTGTCAAACGCTAACTGACGGCAGGTATTGAGAGAGCCAGGAGCCAGAAAAGAAAGATTGAGATCATTGGAACCTGTCCAACGATGCCTGTCAGTCTACACCACGTGAGGGGAAAAAAGCACCAGAATTGGTGCGAAGGGAAACAAAGTTGTTAACAACGTGGAAACTGATGTGTCAAGCATAGTCATATGCCATCCCCGGGGCCTTTTGTTTTTGAAGAAAAAAAATCAGTTGGTATGTTGAAGTTTTACTCATCTGCAAGAGCCTTGAAAAGAAAGTTGAGTTCGTGTTCATGAAAAAAATATATGTGTTTCCTGTGTCCCGAAGCAAGCCATGTTGACATGTTTAAATTGATTGTGAGTTGATGGACATCGTGTCATTGGCAGTTTCCCTTTTAAGTGTAATCCTTCTGTACAGACACATCTTGCTTCGGGCTGAAAAGAGGCATTAAATTAAGTGTTGACAACTTGACATGCATTTTTACTCTTTCTCTTATAAAAATGATCGTAGCGAACATTGTAACACACGAAACAACTTTCTCGCAATTTTAAACTCTGTTGATTTTTTTTTTGATTTAGATTTAGATTTGTTTCCGTGCTTTCTGACACATAGTAGTAAACCAAGTAACTAAATATAAACGAAGTAAACAATTCAAAGGAAATAAATGAACTGAAATAATTAAATGAAAATTCAATAAATTAAATCAATATAAAATCTGAAAAAAGATACAAAAGAAACCACAGAGGCATTTTCTTGAAGCTAAGCTTGTACAGAAATGCCTTGTGCAAATAATTTATAATCCGAAAAAACACATAGAGATTCACGAGAAACGTACACAATGACAAAAACATGGACTAAAACAATAACGAGACTGCAGCGACCAAACCAAGACAAGAACACACAAACACACAACTATACAAATTGTTGAAAACAATAAACATGGTGAGGAGAGGGGAGAATAAAAAACCTTAGCAAATAGCCAATGAGATCAAAGAAGCTGCGTTACATAATTTGAGATTAAGATCCTCTTATAATTTCGTTTGAATTGGCCAACACGGTACCATGTGGAGACATGAGCACAATAGGGAAGAAACGATTGTATACGTCTCCACAGGGCAATTTCTATAGATGAATACGTCTCCACAAGGTTATCATGAAATAGATATATGAATTTTACACAAAACCAGGAATCGCCAAGGTGTGTTGATCAAATTGAAGTATTTCATGTAAGTCCGAATTTCAGCCCAGGAAATTAATTTTGGTTAAAATATAGGAGCATTTTGAAACTCCACTTTCAAACTCGAAAACTTTAGTACACAAGAACAAAGAAATGACTCCACAAGGATACAAATTCCAGTATCTGTGTATTATATTGTAATTAAATGTCATGCATTGTCAATTGAATCCGCTTTGTTTTGTCAGGCAGTCAATGAGCGAGACGTCTGGAAAATGTTACTTTAAGTTCACCTGTGGACTGGAGGTTCTTGGTTTTCTGTACTAAGTTCTTTGATACAGATCGAGTGCCTAAAAGGATATATTTCAGCAACGCACCCGGTGTCTTGGAATGGCAATGCTCTGTTCTTACCGAAAAAGTGCACTTAGTGAAACAAACGATTTGAAAGATACCCCATTATTCTCTCGACAATCCATATAGGAATGGGTATTTCAGGAAACTATTTTCCAGTCTGAATTATTTCCATGTCCCTTTAATATGTCATGACGTAGCAGAGAGCCAAGACACAGTAGACTAATATTACTAATATGCATGGGAGGGGTACATAACACCTGTTAACCATTTAAGAGCATCCACTTGTCTTGATTAATCTTCAAAAATCATGGACACACTGATACAATTGGGACTGATAATGATCAAGTAGAATAAAGAGGTGTCTATCGAAGTGGTCCTTGGTTGATTGTCTGGCCGCTGCAGCCCTATCTCGCCCCTCTATAAGCCGGGCGTGGTCGGGCCAGTGGGGACGGGAGGAAGGGGTGGTCTTCAGGGAACTTGGAACCGGAATGAAAGGACATCACTGTCGGATTTGACACTCACGGCTGCTCTTGATAATGATGGAAGCATTAGATTACGCCGACCGGTAATGAGTCACGATGTGAACATTCTGGCGATTTACTCATCGATTCTGTCCAGGGCACTCTCCGCTCAGAGACGGGTAAGGCACCCGTCTAGATCGGTTAAACTGACGCTGAACCCTGTTAAAGGGTCGTTTGTAAATCAGTCGGACTAACAGGATTGACACAAAGGTGAAGTTGTTCATTCTATGCTGCCGAAAACGTGAAAGTAGCACTTTTTTGAAATGAGGAGTGTTTTGGGAAATGAACGAGTGCTAACTCGAGATGCCAAGTTCAACTTGCCGTCTGTTACTATCAATTCAACATATTGGTATATTGAAGGAACAAATAACCAGCAGGAAAAAAACCTTTTTGGCAACATTTTATTTTTAAACATTCTATCCCCTCTTCTTTGTAATTATAAAAAAATACAAGCATGACCAGTGAAATGAAAGCAAGTTAGGATATAGTTGCACAAGTCCTCCCGGTGTTGCGTGAATTTAGGACTCTATCGGACCTATTAGTAGTATTGGGCATGCCTAAGTGAAGATAATTAGAAGAGTGACTGGTCACGTGAGAGGGTTTAACCAACAATAAGGTACAGGAGTCCGATTTAATAGGAGTCTGATTTTCATGTGACAGTTGTAACAATTTAAAGGACGAAGCATTTTATTACAAAGTATATAGTACACGGTCAACATACAAAGTTGTACGGGCGGGATATATTTGTTCTACGGGGTCCGCTCATAAGTCCGACGCCTCATAGGTCTGACGCCTCATAAGTCCGAAATTTCGGACTTATGAGGCGTCGGACTTATGATACGGCCCCCTTGCCTACATCGGATTCAATGTAAGATTCCGCATAAAAGTACTAGGGTAATAAATGTACTCCAAAATGCCCGAGTTCCTTAGACTGCTTGAGCTGAAAGGAAGAGGAACCGTGGCATCTATACGGCCTTGGTTCACTGCATGCTATAACATTTAACTGTTTAAGGAAACGGAGGTGGTGTGGGAGACGCTGTGAGACATTCTGAGAAACACCGTGTCCCTCGCGTATTCCTTATTTCCGTTCTCTATCGCCCGGGGAACGGTCGGGGGGGGGGGGGGGCTGGGAGGCAACGTGGGCGGGGCGTCATGTGGGTATGGTGGGGGAGGGCACACGCGAACATATCACGACATCATTAGCTACTCCAATATGATGACGAACATGTGGTATACCAAAGATTCATCAGCCTATAGGTTTCAAGATTTTATGCGCCTACAATTGTTTCCCTCACCCCTCCCCGGGCTGCCTGAACCAAGACGTGGTGATTGTGACTTTTGAAATGACAAAATCCCCACCCCTCGGGCAAAATGCACGTGACAATCCCCGACCACGCCCTGACATACATACGTGGGGCGCACTATAATTATAGTGATTGCCTTTCCATGTAGTACGTCAATGGTAACAATGCAATTTGAGTAACCAAGTCGCACCTGGGGCAGCGGGGGGGGGGGGGGGGGGGGGGGGGGGGAGGGGGAGGGGGAGAAGGGAGGGGGAACATTTGATTGGCGCGCATTACTTTTGCGCAACTTGTTTGACTTCTGTTCGCACAATGAAAACCTCTCAATTTTTTTTCTCAGTAAGGTATTCGTATAAGGGGAACCGTAGGTTCATACTTCCACAGAATCTTACTTAGCATGCATGATTCTTATTAGCCCCTTCAGCACATTAATTTATCGAGGAAACCACTCTGGAATATGGGAAATGTCTTATTATATTTTGTCATGATAGCATAAGGGCACGGTGGGGGCGGAGAAGCTAATCATCCGCTTTAGTCATTTGAAGATTTTTATTTGTAAAAAACAACTCGTTTTCGACAGTTCGTTTCTTCCTTTGTCTTTTTTGCAGCTTTATGCCAGCTGTTTAAGTTGGACTTTTTTGAATCGACACAACTATCTACCTTATAAATTCAGACACAACCATGTGAAGCATTTGTTCCTGATATTGTGGAATGAAAACCTGATAAAGACAACTGATAATTTTAGGAATTCCCAAATACGCATGTTAATAGCATAAAGGACATTTGCATATGTCACGTACATAATGCACATTCTACGTTGTGTAGAAGGACAGGGCTGGACATCCGATATGGAATGGTGGAACAAATTTGTTTGAAAGACGTGTTCAGTATATTGACACTTCTAGTTTCTGAAACAAGATCCAATCATACCCTAACAATAATATACCTAAAAACAAAATACGTATGCATCTTCCAGGGGATAAAAGTAGGCCTTGAGTTGAATTTGGGTGTCATTTCGGTTTGCGGTAACACCATGTGGTAATAACTACTGTCGCTCAGTGGATATTCAGTTTTGATAAGAACTTGTCCTAGCTTATTATCAATTTTCGCTAAGTAGTTTTAGTTCTGATTAAGAACACTGACACTCCACCATACTAAGGCTAAAATCTTATATTGAATTTGGGTGGTTCAAAAATAGATAAAATCCAAGTTGATTGAGACGCCAAAAGGCCGGTTTTCAAACAATTATTTTCCCATTGTGTTTTTACATAGTATTTGTGTATATCAAGAACAATGCATTTAACGCGAGGAACTTAAACTACAGACGTGAAATCAATTTCAAGCAAAGTTAAAGGTCTTGTAAACACATGCAGCGACATACATAACTGTACACCATGCTCTTCCTTTACATCATACACAAAGGCCAGCAAAACCTGTACCATGCGGAAATCCCCCATTATTGTGCTACATAGAGAATCCATTTCCCATGATGTAGGCCTATGACTGTTTTTTGGTTGAAGTTTATGGCTGGATCGCCAGAAGACCCATTTTTTCTCACCTTGGCGTGGGTGTGAGAAGTCATCATTGGGGCGTCAAAGAGACTATCGAAATTTTTCAATGAATCTGTCTGATTTCTGTCTGTCTGTCTGTCTGTCTGTCTGATGTCTGGGTGTCACTTTCTTTGTTTATAAAAGGCCTAAAGAGTGCGCGCAAGCACAAAATGCGATGGTTAATAAAGAGGCTTCGATATTGTATACAGGTCCTTAAATGGTATATATATGTGCCCGATTTCACTGTCCTCTGAAGTCACGATTGGCACAAGAAAAAAAATGATTTATTTGTTTTGTTTCTCTCAGCCTTTGTTTAGTTAAATATTACAACGCTATCTTTATAAAAACACTCCAAAACGTATCAGTATTACGCAAAACGTAACGTTGATGATGAAAAATGTGGTGAAATTGCTTCGCCAAAGCTTACCACGCCCACTTGGGGTCAACATGCAAATTGAGCTCCAGTAAACATTAGTATATGACTCCACCTCGCTAGTAATTACAAAATATTCCCTCTGGTCAGTGCTGGTACACTTCCAGAACCTGCTGAAGATAAGCCGGAAGAATTAGGAGTGCAACAGCTCAACCAGTGTTTGTTTCCACTTTCTAATCAGTTGTCAAGCATCTGATCAAGTCATGACTCTTTCCGAAACAAAACCAAAAACAACTCTATAAAATTGTGCAGGTAATCTCGTTGGAAAGTGTGCTCTGTCGGTTTGCATTTCGTTTGGCAGTCACGGCCACTGGCAAGCACAAGGCCAGCTTCCTAACTTCCTGGTAATGAAAAGAATTCCAGCCAAAATTCTCTGGCAAAACGGTCACCGTTTTTTTTCCAATATCCCCTGGCCTTGTCCTGAGCAAAGTGCATTGTTTACCTGAGGAATAGTTCGTTGTGCTGGTTAGGCCAAAAAAATGAAATATTCGGTCTCTGGTCAGACCAAAGTTCCGGAATTGACGCGGGGACGCGGCTTTTTTTTTCTTCAAGCTTGGATTGTACAGACAAGGTGGGGTACTATTTTGCTTTTTGTGGGTGTCCTCATGTACATTGGTGTCCTCCATAATTTGCCTTGGTGCTTTCGATCATTTGCCTTGGTGCAATTTCCCATTCCTTGATGCTCTTTGGTAAAAAAAAAATTGAGGAGGTGCGGCAATAGAGGGCACTGTTGGAGCTACCGCGGAACGTTTTGGAAAGAAAAAGATTGACGCGCATGATTAAAATCGACGCGCGCGCTGACCAGAGACCGACTTATTATTTTTTTTTGGCCTTAGAGAAAATCACATCAGCAGAGGTTCATGGGCATTATGGCAGATGACACAACGACCCTTTGTATTAATAGAATAGCCCTCGCTGGCGGGCTGTTATAGACTAAAATAACCTTCATCGTTCGTCCACAGCTTTTGTTAATAAACTGGATGACACATAGGAAGGATATTTTATTCCGACGATGACGCCTTTGTTGTGAGATTTGTGTTAACAAAGCGTAGTTTATTTGAATAAATATCGCGGCCTGCTGTTGCCCACACAATAACCCCCCCCCCAACCACATACAAAATTGAGGGTTTAATCTTATGGAATGAGGTTTTTCTTCAACTGCTGAAATTTTTTGTTGTTGCTGGAACGAGATGGACGGAATTTGAATCGTTTTGGTGCTTGTTGAGACAACCAATATTGTTTCACCATCAACGGAAAGATTTTGTGTTCCCCTGGTTTGTAAAACTGTTACTGTCGACTAGAAATCGGTCTTACGTGTTCTGACGATTTACCGTCTTAAATTTGATAAGAGACACCGATCGAGGCAGCGATTCTTATTAGATAAAACAATTATAATGAATTAGGGGGAAGTCAATGTTTTTCTTGCGATTAAAATCATGTGTAATTTCCTGATGAACTTTGCAGGAAAAATACGTTTGCGAGCAGGAAAACACGGCTATTATATATCTTTAATTTATCTCCATGAATTTGGAGAGTTTCTTCCCAGTTAAGTCCAAAGCATTGAGTGATCGAGTGAAATGAACTTCTTTTGGAAGTCAACTTCCTGGACCCGCTAAATTGAATTATCTTCCTACCAACACCAGACTAATTGGTTTAATCCATTCGGTGGCGTAAAAAAAAGTACACTGTCGTCTAGATCCAACTGACAGTTATTGCTTTCTGATTCTTGATAGACATCTTCTGATTCTTTTTGAAAAAAAATGCAGTATTTGTTTTGTTTTGCTTTTTTGGCAAATATGTTTCTTTGACACTTTGAATGGTGAAATATTACAACATTTTCTCTATGAAAACACGTATCGCTATTACGCAAAACATAACGTTGGTGATGAAAAATATGGCAAAATTGCCACTTGGGGTCAACAGGCAATTTGAGGTCAAAGTTCACATCTGTATATAACCCTTTAACCGTTGATCGTACGAATTTGTACAATATGAATATGCATTTTGGAAACCTGACTGTATAATGACCCCCTTCTCAAAAATATGTCACTTTACAACTCCACCCAGCTAGAGGGTGCCGCGCAAAACGCGGCATCCTGCTAGTGGTTATTTTGTGTTGTCCCTGCAAAATGCATTTATTGTATATCTTTGGTTTAATATCATCTCAACAATTTTGTCTCCTCTCCAGTTCTATATTCCTGCACTTTTGAGGATCTATCGACATGTTCCTTGGGCGTAGATCCGGCCAGGGTGACCTGGATGATTGGAGATCACATGACTGACCCAGGAGGTCAGGGGCCACCCGCTGACCACACGTGGGGTACTGAGGAGGGTGAGTCCTAGCCCAAGAGGGCGCCATATTCTAATGACTCCATGTTCTATCCAATATGTAATTAACTTTACCTATACTGGAATCAATAGTTGTTTCAACTGTATGCACTTCAAAGTGGTTTCGTTTTGTAGAGCTTTGAAACAGTTTTCAAATAATGACATTTTGTATCACGGTTTTACGTTTATGCTTAGGTTACTTTGACGGCCATATTGACCTTATATTCCTGAGCCATTTTATTGATGTCATTTTCCCTGATTCCATTAAGAATTATACACCATTGTGTAAAATACGCTGAGTTGTCAGACGATTTTGCAATGAAGGCACCGCAGTGGGAGCAATAAATTATTTTTTTTTCACATGAAAGCTGACGCAAAATTCGTCACGATGAATTTGCCAGTTACAATTAGCTTCGACGGTAAAGATATAACAAATACGCACTTTCTGAGAACGCAGTACCCTAAGGAGAAGTGAGACGTCCAATTCCAATTCAGTTATTTCAATTCAAGTCAACTGATAACGGCCGCCTTAGACCACTACAACTGTCTGTAGGCATGACAGATTCTGAGCTTTTGATGAGATGCATCATTTTTTTGGGAAGGTGATTAACGACAGTGACAGATCTGGAATGTCACGACCTGATTGAACCATTTTCAGCTCAACAACAATTGCAATTCACCGTAATTTTTGAAATAATGAGCTAAAACAACCTACATGTGTGAATTCTTAAGATTAAAGTTGGTCAAGGGCTTAATACTTATACCAGATCCCAGTGCAACCCTTGGATAACAAAAAAGGCTGGACGATAAAATAAGTCGCCCAAAAATTCAATAACTAGTTTATGAAATACACCTGCCACATTATGCACCTGCCATTTTTACCCCCTGACTAATTTCAGGTTCTTTTTTCCTCACACATTTTTAACCCTTGCAGGCAATTATGTTTACACCAAGTCAGAAGACAAAGTCAAGGGTACGTCACTCGAGCCGAAGCTGACCTCGGCAAACTTTGAACTCTCCACCGGTGAGGGCGTACTCTCTTTCTACTTTTTCCTGTGGGGCTCCAGCGGCAACGCGCTGAAAGTCCACGCCGATTGCAGCGACAGTGATGACATGTCGCTGATCGGGGAATTCAACCTTTCGACCGGTTCGATGGACACCTGGGCAAGGGCTGAGGCGTTGATATCGTGCAACGGCAGCTTCAAGGTATGTAAATGAAAGCATTGGGGGTTCAAAGGTCACTCACACGAGGGCGCTATTTCAAGCTACTGTCGAAGCGCCCTCACCCGACAATATATTACTGAAGAGGATAGAATAGGACGCCGTGATTGGATGGCAGCATTTGACGTCACGCATAAATGTTTCGCACTGTCAACAGTTCAGCCCAGCTCCAGGATCATCTTTGCGTTTACGCACAAAATTTAGTGCCGAAGGTTGAAGACATTTGGAAAAGAACAAAGTTCAAACGGAAAACACAGGAGTATGGAATCGGCTCCAGGTCTCACGTAGTTTTAAGCAATTTTCCAACCTACGGATTATTTTGAAAAGAACGAATACTTTGCACCACTCAAAAATGAAACATTCATTGTAAACACCCTAATGGCACATTTTTGTTTAGTGATTTAAAACAGTTCTTTTATCATGTTGAGACCAAGAAATAGCAGTTACACTATTCATGAACCTAAGCAAATAACTGACATTATTAAGACAGAGAAAAAATAAGCACACATAACCAAATGAGAGTGCAACCAGCTCATTTGTTGATTGGTTTTCTCTAATGACACTCGTTGACATTTTGTTCTGCAGATAATATTCCAAGCAATTCACAATGCCAACGGCAGTTTCATTGCTGTGGACGACATCGCTTTGAGCAGCACAGATAGAGGTACAAATTAACTTAACTTTATGATTTCTCACTTTTGAAGATGATAGTTTTTATCCGATTTTTGGGGCATATTCTTAACTGCAATACAAATTACTCTCAATCAGTTTTCGGCCATTTTGAACCATAGTTTTTCACATTTACTTTCACAAGTCACATGATCCAGCGAAATTCAGGAACTCTCTATCCCTGTAAACGTAACTAGGCCAACGACTGTTTTTCTGAAATTGGAACTCAATAACAAAGCAGCCATGGAAGGAGTTAAGATTCAAGTCTGTATTATGATAATGTAACACTTTCGTTGTTCAACAAAGCAATCGTGATGGAAGACGATCCCTGTGTAAAATACTGTGAATACCCCTTGACATTTTCCGGGGCTCTGATTCTTGGAGTTAAGGCCTTTGCAGGAAACGTTTTTGGTGCGGTTTTCCCTTTCGGTAGATCCAGGCAGACTGCTGCCGAAGACATGGTTCAGCCATGTGGTTACTGGATTGCCAGCCTGAAGCATCACATACGCTGCATTAATGTTCCTCTAACCGAATTTATCAACCGGTAGTTCTTTAAATGACGATTTCCTTCCAGGCTGCCATCTTTTTTTTTCTGGCGGCAAAGTGAGACTTGCATGTCTTCAACAAGGATCCACATCCAGAAATCTATTGGTGGAAGGGAGAAGGGGTTAATTTTTAATAAAAAGAAGAAGCTTAAACCAGACATTGAGCTTAAGTTTCAGACATCGGGGCTAACCTATAACGGAGTGTAGGCCTACTAAGAAACCCAGGGTAGGTGCTTCAAGAAGGTAGACCCCTCCTCCAGGGTCTGCCAACTGCCAACAGGATCTGCCAATATTACTTCGAAATGACATGAATTTTTTTTTTTTTTTTTTTCATAAGATTTCGGGTTCTAATACCAATGCTAGATTTTCTAAGACTGTCAAACAAACAAGTGGATTACTTCGGTTCATCTTGTTGCTTGGAGGTTCTTGATTGGTTGTCCCCTTTGAATCAAGCTGCTTCTATACAGAGGTTTTGATGTTGTGCCAAAACAGGTGTTAAATGTCACCTGCAACTGAACAATTAATTAGGCTGTAGAGTATCGGAGGCTAGAAAAACGACAATCGCATTACCGGGAGCTGGCTCGACCATGAAGTGGGCTTACAATTATCCGTTAAAGGGTCCATGTGATTGGATATTTCAAACTGGGACCCTCGACCCGCACCGTTGAATTTGTCTCGTCAACTTTCATTTTCGGTCTCTGTATTTTGAGGAAGTTTCCGGGCCTTTATATGCATTGCAGCGAATTTCCACATGAGCAAAACAGCAATAAATAGATGTGGACAGGTCTTGTTGTTTGTTTCGATTTGTTGATTAAGTACGCGACAGCCAATTAAATAGCCACCCAGTCCATTTATTGGTCCGCAAAGCTTAGATAAACTCTCTAAGTGGAATCCTGCTTTGAGCGCTCCCAGGCCCGTAACTGCCTTGCAGATCAAGGGCATGAATTGTTTTCATAAAATGTATACCTTTCCAAATTAATTCTATTGAAAGTTCTAAGGGGTGTATCCTATGGTTAAAATAATGCAGGACTCAACATAGTCCCACTCTGAACAAATAGAATCCATCCACTTTTTGCCAGTTGGATGAGCATTTTGCCCCCTCGTCGCATCCATAGACTTAGACACGTCTTTAAACTAAGAAGATCAACGTTCATTTTGTTTTCTTTTACATCAGATGCTGTCGTATCCGTGAAAACACCCGCCCCAAAGACAGAGCCGGAGAAAGATGTGAAAGAGCCTGACGTGACCTCTGACCTGCCGCAGGTTCCAATGAGCACCATGCCGACTGGTGGCGTCCACAATCGCCCACATGGTAATTGATTTTCGCCAGACATGCAAAGTCTTTTTCAAAGACACTTCAAAGGCTTGTAAAGTTCTGGTAGAATCATGATAATTGTCGGGGGGGGGTGTAACTTCATTTATGCAAACAAAGTGTATATTATTTGGATATTTAATTACTTGCCCGAGTGATGTCAGTTCATGTTTTATGTCTTGAATGAAGACAAAATACCGTCTGGTAAATTTTGGCTTTACCAAACCTTTTCAATGTAGACTTGCAACTTTTGCAACAATTTTATCCATCGGACTTCTTCGCGATGAATTCGAAAAAAAAATAACAAGATGTTCTTTTCTTCTCATACAGAAACGATAACCCTGTCAATAATCCTGTTTCTTCTGGCCTTGCTGTTCATGATCATCAGCGTGATCGTACACTGCTGCATCTGGCGAAAGAGAAAGTAAGTCCCGCGAAGTGCCTTTACACTAATATCACCGTGTATGGATTTTATAAGAGTCAACAATTCAAGACCTTTTTTTACATCTCCGTACTGCCCAGTACCTGGTTTGCCCAAGAAGCACTTTATATATTCCGAGACCGGAGCTCACCGTGTATGGATTTTATAAGAGTCAACAATTCAAGACCTTTTTTTACATCTCCGTACTGCCCAGTACCTGGTTTGCCAGAGAAGCACTTTATATATTCCGAGACCGGAGCTCACAGTTCGAAACTGATAAAAATTTGTTCATGACCAAAATGTAATGCAAAAGAAACTAGAAAAAGGAACACGACCAAAAGTTTTGCACGACACAACATTTCGTACAAAACCATAAGGTTCGTTCCTTGCGAGAAGAAGTGTCCTACAGTTGGTTTCAGGTCACTGCATATCTTCTATTAAAAATGTCATGATATTTTTTTTTTGTAGGAAGTGCAGTGTGAAGATGAGAAATCAGATGAGCGTTCACAACTCCGGCTACAACTGCCCAATCCACACCAACCAGCCTCCCGGAGTGATCATCAGCATGGAGGATTTCAAGACACCGACCGGCGGTCAGTCAGACCAGAACGCGGAGAAGGCATCAATGCGGAGCTCGGAGAGCGGGATAGTCGCCAACGGCGGCGGCATTCTGGCGCGCCTCGTTGCGCCCTACCAGCGAGTTCGCAGTAAGACCGTACCGAACAAGCGGAGCTTCGAGCACTACGAATCCATCGAGATTGAGAGCGACGGTGACGAAGACGCCGACAAGGAGAAAAGGGTACTGAGCGAGACAGGGGACAAACGCAAGAAAGGGTTCCTTGGGAAAGCTCGTCACTTCACCAGGAGCAACTCCTTGCCCACCTCCCCGGGGAACGACTTCTACGAGTCTATCGACCACGGCCCGCGCAAGCAAGGTCCCCTGGCCTACCAAGTGACCGACCTGCTGCCCGGAGCCTCCAGCACTAGCACCCTGGTGGGAGACACTCAGGATAACCGCTCTGATTGCTCCATCCCCAGCATACACAGCAACCATCTCAAGCCGCCGATGCTGTACGATAACCTGGAGAGGAGGTCCCCCTTACTGATACACCCGTCCCGCCACTCGCCCTCAAGTGGTAACTACACTCCCCCGTCTCACCTGAACCTGAACCTGTCCGGGTCTCAGTGCAACTTGGAATCCCTCTACAATACAGTGTCAACCTCTCAGTGCGATATCGCATCACTGTCCTCCTACGAAACGCCCACGAGCCACGTGGATTCCCCATCCAGTATTAACCCCCACTTGAACCCATTCTTTCAGTCAGTACAGCCAGGTGATACGTACGACTCACTCAACCGGCGCCGGCGAACCAACCCATCGCCAGTCATCGCGGACGGGGCTCCATCAACCCCAACCCCACCGTCGCCAACATCCTCCGTACCCTCGTCCTACCAGACGCCCAAACCGAAGACCGATAACCTACCCCCTGAGTATCAAACGCTCGACCCGGACGCGATATCGGACGCGAGTTTTGAAAGGTCAGCGTCTGAAAGCAGCGAAACTGCCTACGAATGTCCTCAGACCAAAAAAATACAACACGTTAAAAGTGAGTCCAGTCATGACTACGAGGACCTAGACTGAATGAGCGTGTCCCATTTTGGGATTTTCAAATGCATTCATATCGTTAGCGGATCCACGATCTTCAAAAAGGAGTAAAAGATGTTCAAGTTCTGCCTTTTTCACGAGTAGGTGGCTGAGGTTTTGAGGTCAGCGCAGACAGAGATCGAAGGGCCTAAGCCATGGAACAAGATTGGCAATATTGTGAACATTTTTTTTCAGGACAGAAATTGTTTCCCAATCAATTATTTGAACAATGAACTTAGGTCAAACGAAGGGGTGGCTATACATCCAATTCAAACTTTTTTCCAAACTTGATTGATAACATTTGCTCATGACATTGAAATTGACATATTTCAAAGATGGCAGATGCTAATTCATCAGGGTGTTGGATTTTTTTTTAAAGCACATCGTTCTTAAACAACTCTATTTTTGTATGTCCTTTTTATATGGCCGTTATTACATCAGCAACAAAGTTGTTCGAAACGACAACGTTTTCGTCAAAGATTTCAATTGAGAAAGTGCACCTTGACAAATATATGAGCAATCGAACTGTAATATAAAATGTATATTTTTATGTATATTTTTGTAAAAATAGAGTTTGAGGTCATTCGCTGATCCCAAAGGAAAACAGCAAAGCTATATTGAAGTGCAAGTAAATGCTCCTTGCCACATTTTGAAGGCTCGGACACGTTTTGGGCTTGCGGTTTGTGCTCGCGAGCTAAATTTGGTACGAGAACAGTGAACATAACGTCACTAGATCTGTGACTGATCATCAGTTTCGTGATTTTTAACCACAAGGACCGTCAGTCTGACACGTGCACAGGTCATGGTGGTTGGGTCAACAAAGCATCACGAAAAAGCTGGCAAAGTTTGCAGGGGAAAAGCTATGTAGCACAGCGTGAAAAGAAAATAATTTTCCAAATAAATGGAATTAAAATATATGAGAAATTTGAGTAAATTGTTAAACGTATGAGGTGCGACGCACAATCTTGGCGTTTCTGTAATGCGTACTCAAAAGGCTGCCTTATACTATGATATGATTGGAGATAATTCTCCACTCAATTCCTCATCCATTTTTAGCAGTGCGTCATCATATTATCATGTGGAGGAAATGATCAAGAAAAATACTCGTAATCCTTATGCAGATAACAAAACAGAGAAATGACCTAATTTTGTATTACAGTTTCTCCTTTCCTAGTGTTTCCGTGATATTGGGGGGGGGGGGCAATCCATGTTAGCAACCTTTCAACTCGGTGACAATCTTTTCATATCTGCATGTACATGCATGTGGTTCGACTCGAAATGTGCTGTTGCTTCTGCTGTACAGAAATTTGCGATTTCGTTTCACTGGTCCGACTTTTAATTGTTTCAGTGAAACGAAATTTCGAATTCGTATACCTTTCTCGGTTGTCCCCGATTTCAACTCCACTAGCGTGCATTCTTGAACCCGTCGTAGTAAGATCTCACCGTGAAGACAAGTGTAAGTTCACTAGACTGTCGGGGGGAGGAAGTGACAATTTATGGAGTTTATGAAGTGTTTCCCGCTAGCAGAGCGCGAATGTACTTGAGCGCTGCTAGGAATTAAAACTGTGTCCCGTCGACAGGTTGAATACATTAGCTACAAGCGCCTTGGGTTGTGCTTAGAACAGTTATCTCTACATCAGAGTCGGATTGAAGCAAGTATCGGGTCTTTTTTGAGGGGGGTGGGTGGGGTAAGAATAGTCGGTTTAAGGATAGTGGGTTGAAAAGCGGTAAGTCTGAGGTAATGACGACTTGCCAAATTAAGCACCAAGTGCTGCTTGTAAGTAATTTATGATAACCAGGTTGATTTCGTCATCAGGTATATACGAGATTTGGTTGACATTATTTTTGTATTGTTGTAAAGGTGAAAATAAACAGTCGTTGACGTGATAAAAAGTTGAAAGTAAACAGTCGTTGACATGGCTTAGTACAGTGTACATCAGAGTTGATGCAAGCGATGTATTTGGAATGTTCCGGTTAGACTGGTCCCCGCCCCCCCCCCATAAATATGTGGACAGGTAGCTAGTTCCCAAGTCTTTGATTGGATCACCTGAGCGCGTATTTGACTGGTTTAACACATGGCTATCAAATGACTCTGACCGTTACCAACAGGCACATATCGCCACAGTGTCTGCACGAAGCTTTAAAGCATTTCAACTGCATAGGTTTCAAATACTGAAAAGTAGTGCTCCTCTCTTTATTAATGGTTTCCAGAGACACTTTCTAATTCAGCGAAAATCAACACCACATATACTGCACATGGTATAGCCTTGTTGCCATTTTGTAATGGGCTGGTTCCGCGCTTACATTCTCGTTGTAATTTTGTATTCAGGGTCCGGGAATCAGACCTGGGCTAATTTACATGCCCATGGACTGGTTCCCTCTCCCATAACAGTCCAAAGGACAATGGAGGGACCGGGAACTAGTCTACTCCTGCAAATAATTTGCAAGCATTGGATTCAGGATTCATTGCCCACTACCTGTTCCTACATACGAATTTCGAAATCAGAAGGACAATGGAGGACTGAGAACCAGTCTATGTTTTGGTATGTCCCATTTACTCCTGGAATGCAAACTTTTCACAGAACGATGTAAATAGCGATTGTTCAATTCTGACAATAGCGCCCCCACCGACCTTACCAAGCATGATAACTTGGGAAACTGCCAAAACAGACATGGATAGGTCTGAGCTCTAAACGAGCATGGACGCATTCCGGAAGTTCGCCGGTTCAAAAGCGGCTGTAGTTCCTTGTTCACTCCAAAAGATGGATTTGTTCCTTAATAATGTTGCTCTTTATACGGCAGAAGAAGTGATGCTCAGTTTTCACTTGTAGGCTATTATAAAGGATTCCAGCAAAATAAGATATGACAATTGACATGCTAATTGCTTTAACACCAACGTTGTGCAGTGTACTAGATTATTGCACGGGGCCTATATATTTTTTTCCTTGTGTAAGCGCAGTTCATAACCCTCCTGCTATTTAAGAGGCCACAGATGGTCAAAGTTAGCTTCCTCACCTCCTTGCATACTGTGTACAAACCAATGGTCTTGGCCAATATTGACCTAAGTAGTAACATGGCACAGAATGCATGCATTCATAGGAGGGTTACTAATTATGCTCTCCGTTCGTCTTAACAACACTGAACATGCTGTTTGGCAACAGCCTTGTCTGGCTACAGGATGGATTGCTCAGTATTTCCCCGGTCCTGGAAAATCCAATATATCTAATTCGATTTAGATTTCGCAGCATAAAATCCCGCTTTTCTGACAATCATGTAAATGATCCCTGAATGAAGTCTCGTTTCGCAAGAATAAAAAAAAATTACCGTTTCCCCCCATAAATCGACACCACGCGTTAGACCGCTCTCCACAGGATGCCCAAAACCACTACTATATTTGGACTCCAAAATAAATGGAATTTGGTCGGACACATTTTGGCGCTTCCTACATGAATTCATGTAAAATGATCCTATGAAAAGAGGCCATTATTTCGCAACATAAAATCCTGAGACCATTCACTACAGGATGTTTGACACCATTATTTTATGGAAATGATATATTTTGGGCGATTGATCCAGCTGAGATTTATTATGTTAATTTCCTTATCTTTCCAATGTTCATTATTCAAACTAATTCAATTAAAAAAAAAAAAAAACCTGCCGTGTTGATTTATAAAATCTTTTAAAGGTAAGTCAACATTGTATTCAGTATAGAGATGCATTAAGCAAAGGCACTCAATGTTGCGAAATTGAAAATGAACTTCACTAAAAATGTGTTTATACTTGTCATCATATCTGTATCATTTTCGAAACCTTCGACATTTTCTGGTCGGGCGGGAGTTAGAAATTTATTTACAAACAGCAATGTTCCTATTTTCACTAGGGAGTCTATCATATCCTTAACGAAGTCAACTTTTTTGGGGGGATGAAACTTTCGACCTGATTTCTAGGACGCAGATCCATGCCACTCCCTGCTTGTTCAACTGAAACTGTCCAGTTGACTAATTCCTATACGCAATTCCTATCTTCAAGTAAAAATAGAATTGGATCATCGTATTTTCTTAAGTTTTGCCAGGCCGTTTAGTTAGCTGTTATCAGCCCATAATTTAATGCCTTTACCAGATTTTTTTTCTGGTTGTTCCCAAGGTTCTTGTTATCTGATTTATCAATATTAAACAAAATTTGTTTCCTTGTGTCTTCAGTTGATCGCCATGCGAAAATTGTCATGTGCAATTTGTATACGTATGCCTTTGGGCTATTGCAGTCTCTTTTGCGAAAGCTCGGCTTCATTTCAGACTTTGGCTTTTTTAAGCCAAATGCTGAGGCAACAATTTAGAGTGTGTATTTGGTTTGTAAATAAACTGAAGGGCTCAATAATAATTCTAATAAATAATACCGGAGTCTAATAAGGCGCACGTATCTACCACCAATTTAAAGACGGGTAAATGAAGTTATTTGAAATAATATGAGACCCATTTAATGTAGCACCCAACGGTTTACAAGGTGCTGCGGCGCATAACGTAGCCACTGCCAGAAACACCGGGGCAAACCCCTTCTCTTAGGGATAAGTGTTACTGGGTTCTTTTACGTGCATTATAATACACGGGATCTACAGCTTTACGTCCCATGCATCCGAAGGATTATAAAACAAAGCCCAAATATTACTTTTGGTTTGATTGCTTGGCACATCATGTTCATTTCCATGTTCAAACATAATTGCTGATTCATATCTGTTCATTTTCATCAAAACTGAAATCAATCCATGTGAACTCAATGCCTTCTGGTGATAACTAAAAAGTGGTTTCATTTTACTCATTTGTCGAAATTTATCCCTTTCAAAACAAATACTTCGACATGAGGAAATTATTTCGGTGACTAAGTGAACATTATTTTGTCGTCGGCTGATGCTGACTATGATAGTGTTGTTATCGCGTGAGCTGATTACTTTGGATGATATTTCAGCTTGACAAACATCTTGAAAACAAGGAAGTCTTTCGAATTAAATGTTATTTCCACTGGCTCTGAATATTCAAGACAAGAGTACTTTATAGACTTGACTAGTCTTTCCTTGAACCTTCCCCAGACATTTTGTCAACTGCCTATGCTATAATATTCCGTAACTTTGCCGGGGATAATGACTGACCTTTTTTGTCATTTTGTTGTAGTGTCTGTTATCTCACGAAGTTATGTACGAATTTTCAGTTTTCCTTAGAAAATGGTAGCCGGCAGAAACCGGTTTTTCCCCTAAAGGGACTATAAGAGTAATTGCTCTCTGTCAAAGAAGATCGAAATCGTATCGGTCTCATTTTCTGAATATGCATGCATGCATGAACATCTTCAAACCGGTAAAGACTTTAGTTTCTGACAAAATACACCTGTTCCCAAAGCATTGTGTCATCTTCATCTGACGCCGGCTTCTTTCAAATTTCATCGTAGCATTCAGAGAAAAAGAATTCCCACTGGTATTTCATTTCATCCAGGTGGCTCGCTCCAAATTTTGGCATGATTTGGGTGAGACGAAGAAAGAACAACAAGGAAATGTTTTACAATTGGTCTTAAAAAATATACTCTTTTGTTGACTGAAATGCAACAAGCTATTTTATTTTACTTGTTTTGGGGTAGAATAACATTTTAGCGTACAAATTATTATTATCATTATCTTTTCTGGTAAATAAACCATGGATTCCTCAAAAGCGCCCAAGGCACTGTAGCTCGCCAGCATGAAGAAAGCTGTGGCGAGAAGACAATGAGAAGAAATAACAGTTTTAGAGGTCGGAGGAAAAGCCAAGAAGACTATTCTGGGGAAAAACCACGGAATCAGATAGGGACTGAAAACCCAATCCACATATTGGCCCAGGCGGGATTCGAACCCGGGTCACAGCGGTCGAAGGCGAGGAAAGTACCGCTACGCCAACATGGCTCCCCTAGTAGTAATTATATGCAATGATAAAAGCCTATAAAAAGGAATCAGGTAATTATCAGTTGAACTGGATGACTAAACATGAAGTAATGGATGACTAAACATGAAGTAATGGAAATGTGTGTTCATTTCAACATGGTTTCAACATTCATGGTTTTTGACCGTTTCTCTGTAAATGGCCGTCATTTCTTAATTTAGTCTGTGTTTTCAATGCTATTTTCACCATATGCCACCAAGACCTGGTAGTTTAGGAATATCTTAAAGCAATTTTAATATGTCTCCCCAATTTTGAGAAATCTGCATCTGAAAAAAGTGTAAACTTTTTGTTGGGCCAACCTGTACAGCCCGCTTACAACTGACTTTGTCGTGCATGGGAACGTGTCTTATTTGTTCAAGGAAACAGTACTTGAGAGAAGCACTCGAGCCGTTGACCTCGCTATACGGGAGATCCTTGACGTCATCAGCACGCGTACAAGGTCAGTTGTAATGATAAAAATGGAAAGATCGGACGTCAACGAGTCACGGTGACGTGTAGTGGACACAGCTAGTTTGATGTCTTAATCATCAAGTTAACGTCTTGAGTGCGCAAATGAGCACTACCTTGAGAAAAAAATGGATAAATTTATATTTCGTCTTGAAATAGTCTGCAACTAAGTGATGACTGAATTTTATCATTTGAATCCCTTTCAAACAGTGTCACCGTATTTAAAAGAAAATAATTTTTACAAATTTGTTACGATCTAAATGATAGTCATCTACCATAAGGAGGCTATCGTATCAAATATGTTGGGAAATAACAAGAAGAAAACATTGGTTCAATATCACGTGCTCTGGCATAATTCTATTTTGTTTATCATGCAATCTCCTAGCATACTGTTAAGGAAATGGCGGATGAGTTCGTTGGTTTTACTATTAAAGTTTCACAGAAACCAATTATCCAGACCTTTGCCTATTCCCACGACGGGAAATCCTTGTGGTTATAGAGATCCATAAACCATTAATCTTTGTTCACGCGGATGATAATCAACTGTGACACAAAAATGGAGTGCCAAAATTGATTCATCATCGGGCAATTTAGAACAATTTACGACCTGAAACCACAGTGTGACTAGAATAGCTTGATGGTGGGTGTTAGTCTTAATATCCGGTGGGCTACTTCGTCCATTGTCCGTTTAATGAAGGGGTATTCCTATATCCTTAAAAGTACGCGTGATGCTTTCAACCTGATTACCCATATCTATTATCTCTAAAAACCCTTTCCCTGATGTGATAATATTTAAAAAGTAACAGCGACCATAGAATTCAGTCAGTGAACTAAAATGCACGGACAAACTTCCAAAGATATTCAAACAATTCGTTCAAATACCATTCCAAATACCGGTGTACAAATTTAAGTTATTTTTTTTTTTCAATATCTCTCCATGAATGTGCTGCTGTGGTTTTACTTTTAACCAAATCAACCAAAAAGGGATGTCAAATAGTTTCCATACAATAAAGAGGAGTAGAAAGTTGCACAAAATGTGCTCTTAAGAAAACTTCACTTCATGAACTCTTTAACAAGTATTTGCGATAAGTGGGTCAAGTCTAGTGCCTAAACTCTACATGGGTCGCTGCGGTGCATAATTATTCACAAGGTACTTAAACATTGTAATTGGTAAGCTTTCCTTCGTTGATAGAAAGGATGAGCATGTGGATGGTGCGGGGAGGAATGGGTGGTGGCGGGACGGGCGTGGTGGTGTTCTCGGATAAACTGTGGGTACTTTGTGGTTAAGGGTGGGGTAAGGGAGGGGCGATCAGTTTGGGTAGGATAGATTTCTCGGTTTGGTTGAATAGAGCCGGAAATGCTTATAATTAAATTGTTACTGGTAATTTAAGCAAGTGTTTCTCAAAAGAGCACAGGCACTGTAGCTCCGAAGCATGTAAAATGTTAGGAGAGAGATAAAGAAAATTCAGGTTTATAGAGGAATAGAATGTGAACAATATTCCAGGGAAGACTGCACAGACTATAATGCGATGTAGGAATAAATACCAAACATTATGGTGTCCCCCCCCAAAAAAAAAGTTCTGCAAGCAGATATCCTTTAATTTCTCAAAAACTACTTAACATGAGTATTTCATCTTGATGGAGCATATTAATTATACTCTTGTGTATAATCAGTAAAAATGCCATGGAAATCCGTTCATGCAAACCAGAGATCTAACAGATTGTAAAAGGCCATGGGTTTTTCACCCATTCCAATAGGATTTACCCAGTTAGTGATATCAGTGCATCAGATTGTCATGGGCCTTTTCACTCTGATGTATTAAGTTAACTGTGTAAATCCCATCCCATTGGAATGGGTGAAAAACCCATAGCCTTTTATAATTTGTTAGATCTCTAGTTTGCATGGACGGATTTCCATGGCATTTTTACTGAATATACACAAGAGTATAATTAACACGCTCCATCAATATGAAATGCTCATGTTCAGTAGTTTTTGAGAAATTAAAGGATCCTGCTTGCACAACTTTTCTGGGGACACCCTGTAAAAAAGAAGAAGAATGCACTTATGTTATACCTACAATTGTTGATGCATGGACCTTATATTATTACCAAATTGACAAAGTAGTGTTATCTTAAATTGATGAGGCAATAGAGCGTGGGGAACTGTGTAAAACATTGCTCCAAGCAGGAAGAAAGCGTGACTATTATTGCGGCTTATCTTCCGTTTGCTGATATGGCCGATAGTATTATGCCGGTCGGAAGGGGCTGAGGGGCCACGACATGAAATGACGTATAACGCCACTTCCCTTGGGCTTGTCGGTGACACAAGGTCATGGCGTGTGATGAAAGCAATCGTGAATCATATCAATTAAATATTGTGAGATATCTCTAGGGCTTAGTTGTGTTCTACAGTCAATCGTAAGCTATATCTCAAGACGGGTCTCTGATAGCCAGGGGACGAACAATGACAGCTCATATCACTAGCTTGTCAGTCGACACTGGATGACTTGTGATTGACCTGATGAACTTGATTACAAATCTGCTTCAGGTGCCTTAAATCTCACAGGCGGCTTTGATTGGCTCCAGGGGCGGATTAGCTGTCAAGGGAGGGGGGGGGTAGCAGGCATGTACTACACGTTTTCAATCAACATTTGCATCTCTAAAGTGTGAAATTGAAGGCTATCACATTCAGTTTCGATTGCCGAAGACAAAATGATACGCAGTGTTACGTGTGCTAACATCACAGTCGCTATACTTCTTTACCGGGGGCGGATCCAGATTTGGATCGGGGGGAGGGTAGCTGCAAAGAGGGAGTATAGATGGCATTTGCTGTGCTTTTCTGCACGATTTTTCGATTTTGTTGCGGCCCAACAGTGGGTTTAGACCACTTACCAGGGACGGATTTAGCTCTCAGGAAAATGAGGTTGATACGAAGGGGGGGGGGGGGCAGGCTGGAGTTAAGGCGTACCGAAGGCACGTCCTGCTAGAGAGTCCGGGGGCAAGCTCCCTGGATTTTTTTTTTTAAATCTACGATGCTTTCTTCAGCCTTCTAAGGCAATTAGAGAATATATTTAGGAACTGTAACCACCGCTACCCCCAGAGATTCGCCACTGTATATGGTCAGAAGGCGATATTATTTTCTTATACGCAGTTTCGGAAGAGCTGTCACAAAATTGAGCTGGATTTGTTAAGGGGAAAAATGGAAAATGAAAGAAGACCTCATTACACAAAGCATGCAATAGTTAATCGACAAATTTGAACGTTCAAGTCATATTTATATTTCTGGCGAGGCTGGGATAGTGAACCTTGAGTTTTGAATAAAGGAATTTCAGACTAGCATCCAAGCCGAGGTCTAAGGCACTGTTTGACATTTATGGGGAAGATTCATTTGAATCCTCACTGCAATAGAGAGCACTCAGATTCCCGCTTCCAATGCTACATTTTCAATTCATCTATAGAAGGAAACATTATAAACGTGACCTCGACATTAATATAGACCAACCACGCAAATGAGAATGTGATGTCATAATCGATATGCGATTCTAGCGCCCGCGGCAGCATTATACCAGCGCTCATTATACCAGACAGTTCCTGTACAAGATAAAGATGTAATCAATTTGATAAATGCTTGGTGGAGGGACAACACGTATGACCACATTATACTGTCTATATTCTACAATGACATTATCATGTCCAGAGAAGAGAGTTGAACTCGTGAGAGATGACTAGGCAGTGTTCGGATTAAGCACCTCTATGCTTGGATATTTGTTTACTAAAGAACTGCCAACATGGACATTTCCACACAAACGTCAAACGACAGTTCACCAAATCTGAGTGAATCTTCAATTGGTAGGTACATATTAACAAGTTCTGTGTTAGAGCATAAATACCGAGCTTGCCTGTATAATAGTGTTTGAGGCCGATGTAAAACTGAATTTCGTGATTTTGTGAACATATTCCAGAAACATTAGCACTCAACCTTTAAAACACCTGTTTATGTTTCTGCCATACTTAATAATGCGAAAGTAAACACATGCATAATTTCGTCATGCGAAACTCGCCCGACGGCGAAGTAACCCAGAATGTCGTAATCCAGTAACCCTGTGACGGTATAAGTTAAATTTTTTTGGCAATATCAAAGTTTTAAAAATGATCGATTTATTCTTGATATATTTTGGGAAAAAAAACAATAACTGAATTGGGTGTTTAGTACCAGTTTAATGGCTCAGCATCCAAGTGAGTTTGTCGTTTGAGTGTGTGTGTTTGATTTTCGAATGATTTGCTTCCAGCTAATCCAAAGTGATTGCATGCACCAGTCATATGAAAAAAATTCTAACTGTTATTAAACTCTTATAGCACTCATTGGAATAACATTTAACTTCTAGGCATTTAGGGTTAGCTGAGCGAAATTGAAAACGAAACATGTCGGTAATCATAAATCAAAGAAAATCTTGTCGAAAGCTATACAATCGTAGTATGTTTTCCTAGTGTCTAGAATGACAGTCAGTTCTAAAAATAAGAAAAAAAATTAAAAAAAAAAGCATGTAGAAGGAAGTCTTTACGTTTAAACCCCCGGTCGACCTTTCACATATGGTTAGCTAATTAACATCTCAACAAAAAAAGTACAGCGGATATGTTAACAAGAGATAACACGTCCGCATTTCGGCGTGGAGGGGCGTGTGCCCCTATGTGATGTGCGCCGGGAGCCAGCGACGATGGTTATCTGGTTCTTTAACCGCCCACATCCTCGTTGGTGATCCAGCGAAGGCCAAAACGGCGCCCTGGTCGACCTTTGGTATTATTTATAAACTTATCAATGACCACCACGTTTTAAGCACGTAGACAATAGGAAAGACTTAGAGTGTAACATTTTTGTTCTATCAAACTATACCACGGTTTAAAAATATTAACAAAGTAAAAGTGGTTAAAGGGAAAATACAACATTTGCAAACATCAAAAAATTAAACTACCAAATCATTTTGAAATACCTTGCTGGACTGTTAGTGAATGACAGTGTAAAGCATCCTGTAAAATCATGGCACCTGGTATACTGTCATTTTCAAGAAAAGTGGAATTTTTGTACCAATTTCCAACGCTGATCGGCCGATCAGCGTTGGAAAAAACTGGCTTTTTTTCAAATACTGGCCCCAGTTGACCATCGCACTTGTTTGCAATCGATTACACACCTATGAACGGGTACAAGCCAGCTAGACTGGTTCCCTGACCTTACAATTCCCCAATATATGTAAACTGCTCTGTTTCTTCTTAAATGGAGTCAGGGAACCAGACTACAGGAAAATGATTGTTTTTCTTGGTTTTTATTGCATTTTCGAACCCAAAAACTCAAAAAAGTCAGTGTAACTATATTTGCTATATATTTTCAACCCCCCAATTCCATCCATTTCTGAAAATTACAGCAAAAGCAAATGCTGTATATTCCCTTTAATCTTTGTTTGTAAGAAGTAAAATCTTTTTTTTCAGAGGGAGAGCGGGGTGGTTAAATTTGCCTTGTTAAAATGATTGCGTTAGCTGATAAATCGATTTGAGAGCTGCCGATGACTAGAGCATGGTAGAACAACCATGAAGAATAACTATCAAAACAGTTTTAAAATGTCAAAGCGATTTTTGTGCGAACACAAGAGAGCGCCCTGGCTTGCCGTAAGGAAGTGTATAAAATTCTGTTGGACAGATTTCGAAAACTTTGGTTTACCCCGTGTCGTATATACCTCACTTCACCATCTTCACTTCACCATCTTCACTTCATCATCTTCACTTCATTTGCGAACTACGCTTCAACTTTCGGTTTGATTGCATAAAATGGAAAGTCTTTGACGCACGCGTGCGCAGGTTGGTTATGTCACAGCACGGCACGCTGACATTATTGTCAGAAGACAATTGTGTGACAAAATGTGTATTTCTGTTTATTCCCTACTACAGTCGTACACTCCGATTGGTCGATGCATTGCACGTGACTTGTCATTGAATACAAACGAACTCTAATACCTTGATTTGTTGACATTTTTCCTTATGGGAAACATTACGTTATCACACGTTTACACACCGTTCTGTATGTGTTAATGACGATTTGTACTTCAGCATCACATGTCAATAATCATGTCTATTGTGGGACAAGTTTGGTTTCCGCCTAGAAGTCCAAAGATCAACTTCCTTCTATTTGTGAGACTCGAGTTATTGTTAAGTATGGTGATACAAACAATAATTTAAAACCAGCATTAAAAAACCCTTTTTTTAGAAAAGAAAGTTACAATTTTTAGAATAGAAAATGATTAAATCGGGGATAGGTTTCAAAGACGCTTGATGTCGCCTTGTCATAGCTTTTTCACAAAATAGAAAGCCAAGTCTGTAAAATATTCACTGGTCTTTTTTTATTACAGCCTGTCGCAGTTTTGACAGTAGAGGCGCTCCATACCCGAAAACAAAACACTAGGGGTTTCGTTTTCAGTGAATTCAATTTAAAGCTTATGCTCGATGCTTCCCTGTCCATTTCATTACAGAGGCCTTCCTCGTCGAGAATATGTCTACCATACTCTACGTTTTAGCTGCGGCCATCATCATTGTCTGCTTCACCATTCATGGCTGTCTCTTCTACCGAAGATGGTGAGTTCACTTTACAGGTGCATGTTAATTAATGACACACCTGTTACACTTGTTGTGTTATGCCTCAAAACTATTTGAAACTTAAGACACACAATTCGTGTTGTAAGGTATTGTTAAATAATCACGTTGTTTTTATAATCGGTAATAGAAGCAGTAACAAGTTTGAGAATGAAAAGTTTGCTATAATGGGATGAGCAGTATGGTTCTGAGGATAAAGAGGGCGCTATTTCCTCTAGCGGTTCTCATTCTTCGAGGTATAATGCTCATTTCAATGTATATTTTTCCCCTTGCGAACTTTTCTGAAAGATACACCGCGCATCATTGTCCTCGAGTGATGAAGCAATTCCCAAGTTATCATTTTACGATAGAATTGAGGTGAACTCCCACATTCGGAACCGTTTGCGTAATAACCTAAATAGACCTTCCGTGTTCAAAAATTGCACAATTGAAATCAGAATGTTTTATTGTGTATTCATAAAATATTACAGGAGGAAAGGAAATTGTCACTTGTTTTTCTTCTCAACATCACTGCATCAAACTCACTGCGTCAAAATAATCGAAACCTTATGAGGTACATGTATAGGGCCTATGTGATATCCAAAACTTGGAAGACACATTATTAAATGTCATGGCATTCAATCATTTACATTGGCGGTTATCCGAGTGGCAAAACGATATTCACTGAAAAAAAAAGGTTGCGTGCACTCTGTTGGCTTAATTTGCTTAAAGATCATGTGGTTTAACCTTTAATTTTCGTTAATTCTTAACCGATCTTTGCACACTGGTTTCCTTTTGGCACACGCGGGCTACCAAGACCGCAAATTTCCGATGCTAGCTGGAAAGTGGTCAAGAAAACACATGGATTTGAAACGATGCCCAAACTTGCACATGTCTTATCGCAGGGCAGGGATAGCCTTGCATGTATCGAAGTTATCGAATAGGACATGGAATTTAGCTCCCCTTTCCTCCCAAGACCTGGGTGCTGAATCTGCAACCATGGAGGCCAACATTTTTCTCATTTTTTTTATTTTTCTTTATGTCCTGCGTACATTTTGACACCAAATTCTGTACTACCGTTCTCGTGAAATGCCACATTTGTTTTATCGTATAGGTGCCGCATTTTTCTTTCACTTATTGCAAAGGCAAAACAAAAAAAGTCTTGGATAGAGGACTGAAGCAGTAAGGGTAATGACATGCAATGTATTTTTTAAAATGCAGTCCTTGGAAATGCAACTTTGTGTCCCATTTAATGCTATTTTAAATTTTCGTTTTGCCATTTTCAAGGGTATTTTGCTGCCTAGTTGGTTTTTATGCTAATGAAAATTTGCATATTCTTGAGCAAAAGTGTGATTTCATTCCAAACAGAAACCTCAATGTAACAGCTGTTTCCGTATCAAAAGTTGCCAGAACTTTGGATTATATCACTGTCGTAATTGTTCTTTATTGGTGTTTCGTTGTTGTGTCAGTACATGGCAGTAAGCCAATGAGCAAACTTTTCTCACAACTGTTTTCAATAAGCACCTTTTTTTGGGTTCAATGTGAACAGAACACCCCTAAACTAAACAGTGTCGCCCTGAAATGACATCACAGAAACAACGCCCTTAGCTTTCCGGAAAAGCATGGAAAATGTTAAATGTCTAAAGAAAGTGCACTTTTCAATAAAATTAACCAAAAAAGGGATGCCAACTATTTTTTTTCATACATTTAAGCGGGGTAGAAAGGTGCACAAAATTTGTTCCTAAGAACATATTCACTTCGTGGGCCCAAATCCCTGTTGGCAGTTTTTCATCTGGAAGAACCTAGTATGCCATATATGTCATGTGGACTGATCTGGGAAAACCTAGCAAGTTGAATTGCTAGGTTTTTCCAGATCAGTATGCATTTCATCAGTATACTTGCATGACATACTAGGTTTTTCCAGATGAAAAACTGCCAACAGGGAAGAGTTTCACACATTTTTAGAGTTTTAACTGTAGGGGAAACACCTAGTAAGTCCAAATATGGGTCTAACTCAATTTTCACCAAAACTTGACTTACTAGGTTTTCCAGATTACAGGAGACTGGTCTAAAACTTTGCTCAATGTGCATGATTTTCATGGATCACCGATATCTGAAGGGGCAGAATCTAGTTCCTTTAGTGTAAAATGAATGTCCACCAAACAGACAAGACAAGAAAACATGTACATTTCATTTTCGTGTTATGCTGTTCGTTTTTTAGCTGAGGGATAGCAGCTCAACAAACCATCATGTTTCTCCGTTAGTTAGTTAGTTAGTAACAAACGTTGAAATTGTCTACATATTTTGACCGATTTAAACCAACTTTGTCAAAATTATCAGTGGCCCAGCCCCAATATGCCACATGACCAAACTGGGGTCAAAGGTCATCATGGGGTCACTGGGGTCAAAAACCTGATTTTATTTTTGCTCAAAACGCTACTCCTTCCAGAAATTATATGGCACACACACGCGACTCGTGCATAATAACGAATTCGTTGGCCCGCAGCTTCCGAGATTTTATCAAGGGGCGGGCATTGACCTCTCTTTCAATTTATTTCGTCGCCATGATGTTACTCATTATTTTAACGGCCACAACTCGCGCTTTTCACCATCGAACTGAAATGAAAATTCACCCTGTCGGAATATTAAATCGATGGAAAAGAGACATTACCAATATTTATGTGGTGCCTGGGAAAAAAAGGCTAACCTTTGTAAGCAGACAGCAACACATCAAGTGTGAAACTCGGGATAATACAAACAGATTCTGCTCTTGTAGTAATAATAGTACTACAATACTTGGACAAAACAGAAAGTGAGAGATTATGCGTTATTCCTGTTTTCCTGTTGTGCAACTTCAAGGCAGTTCTTTTTTTAACGTAGTCGTTTACATGGGCAATGGATTGTTAGCGTGGTTGTGTAGGAGGTTGAAAGCGCTACACGGAAGTAAATAAACACCTCGTCGCACTCAGAAAAAACAGCCCGTGAATTTGCTGAGCTTTTTTCTGGATCGGTTTCTTTCTGTACCTGAAAAAAGTCCACCATGTTTGACGCCCGATATCTCAAAATGACCTTAACAAACTTCTTGCCCTTATTTTGTGGGGTGAGCACAGATGAAATCACAACACTGATTGGGGAGGTTTGGATTTCTTGTAGTACCATGTGGCAGGCTGCTTCAAGCTAATTACTCTGGTATATATCAGTCTGAAGAGAAATACTTGATCTGCCCTTTTAACTTACAATCAATGGGTAATTCATAATTAATATCCATGCAGATCCAGAGCCCAACAGAGTCAAAAGTGGGCAATGCGTCCCTGGATAGTTTTGATGATAATCAATTTTGAAGGTTTTAACGCGAATTTCCTTTTATGGGAGGGGGAACACGGAGGCTGTATTTCCCCCGGATCTCCCTATTTACGTCCACTAAAAAAAATTGATATGAATGATTGAAATACGTACACCTGTATTTAACCGAAGGTCAAGTTGTGAAAGACGTTTACGTTGTCCAGCAGACTAATCCGGCCGCCACAAGAAGAAGACATGTCGTAACGTGCTAGCTGAGAGCACGCACGCACCCAATGCAATCAACTCTGACATCCTTCTACAGAAATATGGTTGAAATTTGTTCTTATGTATTCAAATACTTTCATTTGTCTGCATTTAGGAAGAGACGCAGACGTACCACTAGTGCAGAAGACAAGGAGATCGGCTGGAGTCCCATGAGAAATGCCAATAAAGACAAGGTCACGGGAAGCTCCCGTGAAAACTCTGTCGTTAGCTGTACTGACAGTGATCAACGGTCCCGATCCGACTCCGTTCAGATCCTGCATGAGGCCAAATCCTCCACCAAGTCCCTTCTGCTGGACCAAGACCTCAGCGACAGACGCCGGTCGTCTTCGATTAGGATCAAGGTGCTTCCTCCTCCTGCGATTATCCGAAGCACGAGCGGACCAGACCAGCCCACCCAACGGCCAAGCGACGAGAGTCACCATGAGGCCTCCAAGAGGGGTTCAGATCCGCAACCAGCGAAAGCCGCTGTTATCGCCGAGCTGGCAGGGCTTGGCTCCATAAAAGCTCCCACAGTATTTGTCGCTGAGCGATCGGATGCGTCAAAGCCAAGCTGTGTCACCGATAAAATACCCAATGATGTGAATTCACCCGGTTATGCACAGATCGGTGGCAGCTCGAGCAATGTTGCCTCCGTCCCAAAGTCGAACAATCTTGACAGGTCACAAAGTGGCAGTAACAGAAGTGTGCCTGCGATTCTCCATACACAACCAAGCGAGGAAAAGTACGACCATCTGGAGCCTAGGGACCTGACTAAACGTGCCACCGTAACTCGGCAGAACAAGGACAGCCCCGAGGTGAAGAAACTGAAAAGAAGATCCTATAGTTTCGACGACGTGCCTGCCTTTGAGAGTACCGGGGATCTTGAACCTAACTGGCAAATTCCAGGCCCAGTCCGAGGTCGCAGTGCAAGCGAGAGTCAGCCAGTTCCAAAATCTGTAAAATCGCAAACCGGCGTCTCGAAACCAGACCCCGTGTACTTCATACTGGAGCCCGGTTCGGACATCGATACACTATCCAGAAATGACAAAAGGTACCGCACATTACCGCCCATCAAGTCTACAGCTGGGCAGCCTACCAGCCCAATCAAGAGAAAGTTCACCTTCAACACGCTCTTCTCGAGAAAGAGCAAAAGGACTGAAAAAAGAAAAGACAAGCATGGCGCCCAAACGCCGCCTAGTTCCCCAAGTAAGAGCAGCGTAGATGAAAACCAACCCGTCATCTACGAAGAGCCGGAGGGAGTCCGCGTTCTCGACCCGACCGACCTTCAGGGCTACGCCACCGTGAATCCAGACAGTCAACTGGATGTAAGAGAAGATCGTGGAGGGAAATCCGACGGCGGAAGCCCTTCGAAAAGCAAATCTAGCATCCTGAAATCATTCCATAAAATTCGGACCAAAAGCAAAACGTTCAAGTCAACATCCCAGAAAAGACCGGTGAGGAATATCTGTGATGATTTGAACGGCGCTTACGAAGTACTAGAGATACCAATGGGTGATTCCGCGACCGCAGGCGGACCAGTGTATGACACGCCTGGGTCAGATGTTTCTGCGAACCAAGCGGCATCGAAGAACTTGACGGTCATCGGAACGACCAACACCGGGGCTCCGTTGAAGCAGTACCAACCAGGCTCGGCACGCAGAGAGCTTCCAAACACTCCGAACGAGTACGACGTCATAGAGAGAGGTGCCATCACATCCCAAGGCGCAATCTCAAGGTCTAAATCCGCAAAACCCAACCTTAGAGGTGCCTCGACTAAAGCATTGACCCAATACGACAAACTCGGTCCCATGGTACCAGACCGACTCAAAGCAATCGATATGTCGAGGCCCTCCTCGTCACCCGAGCCAGCGAAACGTGGCACGGATCGAGTCTACGATCTGTTGAACCCGAAAACGATGGGCTCCTCAGATATTCGTAATGGAGGAAAACCGAGAGTCAGTCCCAAGCCACAGTCTCTCCGCGGACTGCCGAGAAGCTCGGACTACGACCTTCTCTTTTCGGGGAAGTTGTCTCGACACGGCTCTTTTTGTGCTGGACCTAATCCCAAGTCAGCCCCGCGACCATTACTGCGGGCTAATTCTCTCAAACTCCGGAAGATCAGCCCGGAAACTTCGCCCAAGCCATCACGAATAAAGCCCGGGAAACCATCCCAGGTGAAGCCGCCACTATCTTCTAAACCAGCCGAGCCTGTGTACTTCACTCTGGATCCAAACTCAACTGCAGAACCTATATAGAGCACCATTCCTTGTGCACAGAAGTTTCCTTCTTTGTACACAGAATGATCAATAGGTTGGGTTTGCATGGTTTTGAACTCCGAAGACACATTAAAAGGGGAGGGGAGGGGGACTTGTGTTAGTATACATGTTTTGTCCTGCATTCTTTGGCGATTTGAAGATAATTGAGGGATAGTATAGTGATTTTCCGGCTAAATGGAGGATTTGAAAACATGTACCGCACAGGGTGAACAAACTGTTTGCACAGAATTGCACAATGAGGCCCAGCATCATCATAGCCAAACTGTGTTGGTGACAATGAACGCTAAAACACCGAACGACCGAAAGTGATACTGAACTCCTGAACTGTCAGACATGACAGTAAGGTCAAAAGGAGCACTGTGAATGACAGTACTCATAAGGCAGGGATAGCTGTTTTGCTGATATTGTTGCTATATATACATATATAGGGAAACATCCCGGTGGCCCTTGCCTTATTAACAAAACCAGGAAGTACTTGGAATCTTTGTATAAAAGGTTTTTGTTGTAATAACTATGTTTACTCGGTAAGCACGCTGCTTTCATAGACATTTTCGTGTGACAAACTGAATCGACTGTTGGTAATCGATCAGATGTTTGATATTTGGTCAGAGGCAAATGATTTAAAACGAATTATATAACCATGGAAATGTTAACCAAGAACGATTTTATCCAGAGCATAAGAAAGTCTAGGGTATAATGATAATAGCTACAGTTTAACATTGTTTTCAAGTATGTGTTATTAGAATGAATTCAACATGATTAATGACAACATAACACAAGAGTAATAAGTGCCCAACGAGAGCACAACATTGATACATTGTACCATAGACTAGTGGCGTTTCGTGGTTTCTGCTGCATCCAGTCCAGGTGGCAACAAGTCTGTGCCCTTTTTATTATTGTGATCTCATTTTTTTTTAAAGGCTTGCATTATGTAATGTTGCAGCTTGTGGCTATAGGTCTACATGTTGATCTGGTAATTCATCTATCATTATGTATAAAGAAAAGGATAATACATAAATACACAAGGTATTTAAAAGATAACAGACAGCTGTCTGACGGAATTGTACAAACGGACGTATAAATGTCATGTACATTTGGACTTCAGGAGAATGTTTTGAAGACTAGGCAATGTTCACATTAATCTTTAAAAAAAAATGGAAATCTACAAAGCAGCATTTATTATGCTATAATGCAATATTATATCTTGTCGCTCAGAAGTGGGATAGTTCATATTTTCCACTTTTCTGTAACATATAAAAGGGGAAACCCATCGGAGTGAGGGTAGTGTTTTGTGGAATTTATAGTACATGGTCGCTTTCGTTTCGTTTGTTTCAGTGTTTGAATTAAGGGAAGCTGATATAGTCCTTTATCAGTTTACGGCTGTTTGATGTGCGAACTGTTACACAGTTGGCGCATAATGTGCATGAAACATTTAAATATTTCAATTATTTGGGTTTATTATTATCTTGCGGTTTTGCATACCTGCAGTACCAAAAAAGCAAGTGTGTAAATGTACATAGAAACTCTGTAAAAAAGAATTGCCAATATTTGCTATTTGATAAGCCAAAGGACATATTATAATGTATTTTTTAATGTTGAAACTATATTTGCAATGCTTGACAGTCAATTTCGCGTAGGTTTGGTTACTGAGGAATAAATCCGAACTCCAAGATCTTGCTGAAATATGAAGATTAGTGGATTAAACGTTTTCATATCTATATCCAATGTTGTTTTGTTTTCCCCATAACATTATGTGCAATATTTAGCCATGAGAAACAAACCCGATAGTATTGATTAACAGTGTAGTATGCATTATCAATAGCGCTATTATGTACAACATTTAGTATCAACGTTCTTTTTTTCCAGTTCTAAATTACTGAATAGAATGGTTCCAGACCGGAACTCACGGAATAGCTCAACGGAAGGATACAAGGTGATAGACCTACAAAGGTCATGGTTGGGATGGGAAGAGATAGATTTGTCACAGTCGACTCGAGTTCGTCAAGTGCATGCACAAAAGACGATTTTGTGCTCTTATCTTACATACTCTCTGTGGACCTGTGAACAAAAGAGGTCCACAGGATGCAGGAAGCGTGAAGTTTTGTGGACTTGCACACGTCCACACTAGGTTTCCCCTCTCTGGAAAACAGGTTAAGAAGCATTTTGGGGGGTTAGCTTTTTATCTGTCACAAAATGAAGAGGAACACTCAAGAAAATCATGATAAAAAAATGGGTTAAAACCAAACGAAAGAAATAAAGGTCCTTTGGTCCATTCTGGGGGTGAAAATGGCGGGAATGGGGGAACTGGAATCTTAAAACTTGATGACGTAAGTTCTTAAACTTGCAGAAACCTTTCCGAAAAACCATGTCCACAGTACAGTAGGTATGTAAGGTTATGTTGTGGGCGTGCTTGCATGTGTTGAGGGGGGGGGGGGGGGGAGCGACGATGGGCCATGATTAAACCGATGCCAGGCATCAGTAAGAATAATGAATATAGCAGATCCAAGCGACCGCCAGTTCGCAATACTGATGGGGAAGGGAGTGACCAGTGATGGGACTGTGGGAGGGGATTAGACAATGATCGGCTTTAATACGCGTATAATTTAAAGGAAGGGTGCAACCACGCTATAACGAACACTGCTATAACGAGCAGTTGGCTATAACGAGCATCGGCTATACAAATACAAATTCCCTTTGGCTCCCGAAATAGTAAATTGTATTATAATGAACGATCACGATGACCATTATAATGAACACATTGTATGGACCCCGTCGTGTTCGTTATGATGACGTTTGACTGTGTATAGCGATTACAAATGTGCGAGTAACACCCTTTAATATGTGGGAAACATTTTTTTGGATAATTCATTTAAGACCAGATTAAAATAAAGTACAAAAATGAGTGTGTTTCAGGAAGGTTTTACTTAAAAGAAGGTGTATATATTTATGTGAGAGGGTCAAATTACCATAAAATTAACATCATCTCAATTTAATAATGCTTTTATTAAACCGCACTATTCAGTAAAATAAACATTTAGCTAAAAGAACAAAGGGAGACATTAGGAATGGACTGAAAATAGAAATAACATAATACTTAATCTTTTTTATAATGGGATTGGGTGCTTTTAAAAAGGAAATTGCTCATTTCTGTACGATAATCACTGGATTGTGAAGGGCGCCCTCATTCTGCAATGACAATCAAGCATATTAGTTGTTAAATATTATAGTGCAGGCCAAGTGAAACATTCACTTCGTTTCCAGCACCGCAACATCAAATATAATATTTTCTATTAAAAAAAGCATTTTGTTATTGTATTGCTCACTTCGAAATATGCATCAGGGCCATACAATTTTAATATTTTCTCAGATTTTTCTTTTATGTGGTTGAACACATCTTCCCTGCTCCTTTGGTCATAAAAAATATTTGGAAACAGGAAACAATGTACCGTAATATTATTGTGAAAATAACCTTCACAATCATAATAGTCGCAGACAAATTGGAAAGTCACAGACAGTTGACGGACGCATCTTCCAGTGCTGTCCAGAACGTATGCAAGTCTGTGAAGTTCTGAGAAACGCAACCGTATTTAGAGTCATTTGAGTCCGTGTTAACGGCTATTTTACGAAGGTTCGAAGTTGAAATTAATACAGACAGCAGCCTGCCAAACATTCGCGTGCTTGCGGTGAGCTCAGGGAGCTAGACTTGGCAAAAGTGCCATTATTCGTTAATCTAATCACGAACCACTACTTGGAAAAGCTAGGAAGATTGCAGGTATAAACTATACGTTGGGCGTACAGGATACGGGCAGAACACAGACAAGCCCCGTTATAACAGGAATCGAAAGAATCGATAAAATACCATGCTTGACATTAGTTATCGCTAGGCAACTCCCATTGGCATGTCTACACATCCTTCCCCCTTCCGATTCTAGTAGGTCATATAGTGGAAGGCCTACAACATTGCCAAGATATATCGCTAAAATAAAAAAGCACTATACAAGAATAACCGAACAATTTGAAAACAATTCAAGCGAACTTTAACTTAGAAATGACAGTTCCTTATGCGTCTCAAACGAAATTCTTCGTTAAATGCACTTATTTATTTATTTATTTATTTATTTATTTATTTATACCTTTATTTATCCAGGGTAAACCCAAACAGCAAAAAGCTGTTTTTCATTAGGGCCCTGCATTAAAATAAACTAATAATATGAAATTTACAAAAATCGAAGGCAAAAAATTATATGCACTTAACACAAATAAAAAGTTAAAACTAAGAAAAGATAAAAGAAAAACCAGCAACAAAAACAAATCAACACTCTGTCGGTAAAATAGCGTTACTAAAACAGAGCGCAAAAAGGAACAAGCAAAAAAAAACCCCCGAAACTAGAAGTTCAGTTGAGTGTATAAACAAACAAATGAAGGACTTTGTCCTTCCATTTAAGTTTTATTTTTTTACATTAAAAGGACTAAACGATTTCCATATACCTTTAAATTCGCTGAATTACATAAAAAAGTATTTAAATTGAAAAAAAGAAAAGAAAAACACCCGCACTCAGTACGTTTAATAGGTTTGTTATTTGAAGTCATAATTTTTTTCCAGATTGTATAATAATTATGGTTCGTAATTGTGACGTTATTTAACTTAAACCACGCCCACTACACATTGAGTATCATTGCAACCATTGGAACCGCGGTGTTATGAAATTCGGACTCCAATAAAATCTGCTGGTCTATTTTACCTTATTGATTCTATAAATCCTCGCGTCACACGTGACACTGTTCTAATTATCTTAACTTAGGCATGCGCAATACAACCAAGGAGTCCGTATTTCATAGAGTCCACAATTTCACACAACACCGGAAGTATAGTAGGCCTATAAAGAGGGCGCTATTAATCAGTGATGTGTGCCACAGACATATAAACGCGTGCGCATGTCTTTATATAGAGATCAGTGAAACGCTTGTATGCCGCAGTCACTTACGGACCGGATACTGCACCCTCGACGCCATGGGCGCGTGCAAAGCATGATGGGAAACAACATGGCGCAGCAAGATCGTACCATTGATCTCCATATACTGTGTATATGGAGATCAATGGATCGTACTCATGAACGAGGTTGCGGATATATCGATACTGCGCATGAAGCAAAACGCGCGCATAGGCCGCCGGCGCCAGCGATGGCATGACAATGTGCGCGTAAGCGTCCATCAAGATAGAACAGCGCTAGAATCCCACGGAAGACCACTGTTAATGTTATGCAGGATGGATCGAAATGCAGCATTCACTACATTTCTCGTACAATGTGCGATTGGACTTTCCACGGTAGTGATCATTAAATCAACATTGGTGAGTACTTGAGGCTACTATAAATAACCCTGTTGGGAACATATCTGATGTGTTTTTTTAACAAACTAAAAGACCATTGACTTTTTTTCGGTAGGGTAAGAGTGTACAGCAAAAAATATGAAAAAAAAACTGGCTACGATGAGGAATATCCATCACATGAAATTCCGGCCGGTGATTTATTTTGCTCAATGACATTATCCTCTGAGTTCAATATATTTCTGTGTTTCGCAGTTCCATAACATTGGAACCATATGAAGAATTCCTGTTAAAGCCACCAATTAGAGAATAATTATTGATAATGGCATTTCTAATCGTGTTGCTATCTATGGGGGCACTGATACAGCTCTTCTGTATTCGTTTTCCAGTGTTTTAGTAGCCCTGCAGGTTGGACTCCGTTGTGTACACGCAATAAAGACGTCGTCCAACCTGGGCTAGTGTTTTAGCAGCCTTTGAAGCTTACTTATTGTTAGCCCGATCCTTTTTTCCCAAGTTAAATGTCTGAACACGGGAACACAGCTGCCGATTCTGTGATTTTCAATTTCACGCCAAAGTGGATAGCGGCCATCTCAGCGGCAGGCACCCTTGCCGTCTGCGTGCTGATCATCGGCCTGTGCATATACATCTGGTACCAGAATACCACCACGGTGTCGACTGACGACCGGGCACTGGCCAGGACGACTGGTGGCGCTGTGCGGCCTGCCCGTCACGAGAGGACTGAAATTACAAGAACGACACGGGATGCCCCCGCAGCTGTCGCAACATGACGTCGTCCGGGATCCCCAACTTCAGAATGATGTCAGCGGTGCACTGTCACCGCAACCACAAAATCGCCCGAGTGTGGCTAAATTTTGCATCAAGCAAGACTGACAACGTATTCACAAGCTATGATGCATCTGCACGTTATCAGACTGGTTTCTCCAGTAATTTGCCCACGTCTGGAATTGGCAGACACTTTTAAAGAATTATCCTCCATTCAAAAGGAGTGTTACTTTTGCTTCAGTGTAGAGAATGAACATAATTATCTTCATTCGATTGAATATTGAACACTTCGTCAGTAGAGAGCTTGGATGCTTAGCTGGAATAACTACTCTTTGATAGCAAATATCGATATCATCTCGATACAACGTGTCAGGAAATGTTACGATTTTGTAATGAGAAAAATATTAACAAGGGTGACTGGCTCGAACGCAGCGTATTTTTTTTTAAATGCATGAGATCTATGACGACTTATATGGTAAATGTAAGAATTACCAAACCATTTTAAAGTAGACGAAGCTTTCTCCAGAGTATTAGCACTACTGCTCTCCTGAGTTTGTGTTCGATCTTCGAAAAATTAATACTTCCTCCCTCGTCTCCTCTAAAATGTATAGTGTACTCGATATCATGCATATGGAGCTGTCAAGCATGAAACATTTGCACAGAAAATTCAGCTGAAAACCGCATTATATTTTCGCTCTTTGTCCTTTTTTTTTTGCTCGGCAAATATTTTCTCTACTTTGCATACTACTATGATTCGCAGTTCCACTTTTTTTCTTTAAAGGAATAAACCTGCACAAACATAATTAAAGATGAAACTACATTTGTGAATTAGAATTTTAAATCAGATGTTACTATACTGAATTATGAACACCGACTTCAGTCACAAAACGTGACGTTAAAGCACGAGTTGATGCCTATACATCATTCAAGAGGGACAGAAAATACCTCAAGGAGGGGCTCACATTACCCAGAATGACTCAGGTTTCTATAAAAGACGGAGCGATGTTAAAAATTTTCCTTGCGGGTAAAAAGAGGAGCTATATTTGGAACTGAATTTACTTATATACCCTCACCACAGATAAACCAGTTATTACTCATTGTGCTGTTTCAAGACAAAATTGTTTCAATAAAGGGGTGACGCAGATAAGTTAAAGGTGACCTCAAAGATGCTTTCCATGACGCACTACAAGATATGTATTAGTAACAAGCCGGTGTCGACTGCATTGTTTCTTTAAGATTATAAAATGAGGCATGACGCATGGGGACTTTTATTTAACAGAATACCGTTAATTTACCTCGGTGATAAAAATATTGACGATCATTTGTATAATGAAGAAACCCTCTCTTAAGTATGAAAGAAAGTAGAGGGAAGAAACTTTCTAACAAGCTGTTAATTGAGACCACGGAAATCAGCCTATTACCGCCCGGAGATAACGAGGAAGCACCAATATCACAACCGGCCGTATAATAGTCTTACGTCACACGGTCATTATGCAACGCGCAAAAGGCAGCATTGACGTACTGTATGATTATTGAAATAATTATTGAAGTGACGCTCTATGACCTGTGACGTTATTATGTTAATCGGTCTTCTGTCGGTTGCGGTATTGTACCTATTTAGCAACAAAAGTGCGTTGCGTGATAAATAAAAGTGCAACTTGGATTTCATTTTGCCACAAAAACTATACTGCCCACAGCTTGATACGGTTTTGGTTAGAATCAAGAAACATAATGGAATTGAAACAGTTCCAAATTTGGCTTTTTTATACCAGAACTTCATAGCCTCTGAAATCCTGCTCTAGCAGGATCCACGGGTCAACAGTTATTGATAAATACGTACAAAATGACTGTGATTACCTCACGAGGTTAGAGCCAAAATTTAGAACTTTGACAATTAGAAATGCAATTATCTCGCTCAAGACTGTACTCTGACTTCGTTTGCCACAAACGTATACGAAACGCAGGAAACTTAATACTACGAAAATTGACAGGAAAACAAAAACATTGTTGCGCCAATAAGAGATCGTATAACTGAGTCCAGCAGAATACTTTCGGAGATCTAGAGGATATACCTTATTTTTTTGGCAATACAGAACTCCTTGAAACAGTACGAACTAGCGAAGTACAGCTCTGAATATACTGAACAAACTCAAGACCGATGTATTGACATATTCCCGAAACACTCTTTTCCTTTTTCTTTTCCAAATGTGTCTCAACTCAAGACATAATAACCGATGTCTTATCTACTCTCAAACACACTTTCTTTCTAATAACAACTCCTAAATAAATGCCTATAGGCCTAGATGCTTGGATAGTTTGATTAATGACGAATAAGTGTTTAAGAACACACACGATGTGTGTAGCCTTTGAGCAGATATTCTTTTGTGCGTAAAAAGTAATATGCCTACGAGTTTAGAACAGTTTCTCAATGTACAGCGTAGATATTAGAGACAATGTTCACCGCAGGTAGACGTTGTGCCCAGCCATATTCCCTGGTCGTCCATCAATTTGTTGTCTAGAACGACGGTGACAAACTGGTGAGTTAATGTCCTGTGATCCTGAACACTAAGGACTTAGGGAAACTGCTGCGGTTATGCTATGACGTCTACCACCGCATTCGATGCCGTTTATACCCCCCACTATTATTAGCTCAAAAGAGTGGGAGATCATTGCAGTCAACGTGATTACGAAGTGTGGGTACCTGACAACTCAGCAGCAGTAGGCATTTAGGCACATTTTAGGTAATTACCGACCTACGTCAATATTTTATAATGATAATGACACACATCCTATAGCGTGGTATAGCCGTGAACATCGTTATTTTTTTAAGCCATACTTCGGTCAGACTTCAGCAAAACCGGTTGGTTGTGTAGGTGAGATGATTCAGGAATACAGACAGTCAGTGTTGAACACGCACTGTGTACAGATCTCAATGTTCAAAAACACTTCTCTGACCTCGCCACATCCCGTATTGGTTGAGCAGAGCGGAAAACCGATATGCATCAGCCTGCTACCGTGCGAAAAACCAGAAAACATGGCGGCCAGGAGGTGGGCGGACATGCGCAGTGACACCATCGAAGCTTCCGTGACACGTCCAATCACTTCGACGCCAGGCGGAGACCAGTCAAAGTCGATGTGAAAATTCACCCGCGAGAAGTCTTCGAGGGGACAGCACCTTTTAAACAATGGATTTGCGAAAGGCAGAAGAGCTTTCAATAATTGACTGTTGTTCAGGAGGATTGTCACTCAGATGTCTTGTATGTCTGCTGATATACTCGGCCAGTCATGCAACTTTCGCTGCGGCTGGTAAGTAAATTAATACTAGTAAGTTAACGTGAACTTTGAGTTATTGTACACTATATGGTATAGTCGGTGCCGCGAGCCGTCAGAAACCCTTGGTTTTATTACCAGAAAGAACGAGATTAATATTAGATTGAAGAAAGTGTGTCCACAAACAATTCACTTGATGCAGGGATGAATGACAATGCCAAATACAATTTCAGATAAAATTTAATTATTATACTGTTACACCAATTTCCACAAGAGACAATCGGAGTCCGCAAGATCTCTGCTACATTTCCTAACAGGCGTGAACATGTGCCAAAAACATTGATTGATACCTTATTAGAAATGCTGAAACACCGAACGGAAAGTTTATTATCTGAGCCCGGCAGCCGATGATGCTTTTGGTACATTTTACTTATATTCGCACGTCTCATTGTTTACATTGTGTTAAAGCTTCTCAGAATATCAGCCAAAAAAAATCATTCGCCGTGTAGTTGGTGTGTAATTTTAATAAGGAATTAATGGCTAATGATCACAAGTAAAAACCACAAATACATTTTTAATTTAAAAAAATGGCACCTGAGTCTATGTCAAGACTATCAAAGGATTACGTTTACGGAGACTTGCTTTCTAATCAAAATCTTCAGAACGATATGACAGTGGTATTTTTGCCCCCAAAAGTACAATTTTTCGATAGATACAGTGTGCTCTAGCTCTTTGCACTCTGTTTTTGGGGTAAAACTTTCAATAAAAGAGCGGAGGAAAAATGATGCCACAAAAATATTTTACCAAACCAATTCCTGTGTTAATTCCACACAAATACGTACCTAAAACTCAATAAATAAAACAAAAATAATATCGGACTCATAAATTAACGAAGTATCGGTCCTAGAAAGGAATCCGATTTGGCGTGCCCACCAAATCAAAGTATCACGTACATGACAACTGTACGTACAGCAACGTCTGTTGTTATCAATTATATCAAAGTATATCAAAGTTCATAAGCATAAAGCATATCGTGAGACGCAATGACATTTCCTGCAGAGATTTTAACACCCGGTTTGGCATACAAATTTGTCACAGCCTTGATAGCAGGAAGTTGTTTATTATCTATAAATCTCTATAGGGCTTTCAAAACAAAATATCAGAGCGCGTGTTCGTGACAATAGACACTTCTGTTGTATTCCTTCGAGGAAAAATGATTACAAATATATCTAATTAACAATTAGATTCCGAGTGTTCATACGGATATGAAGAAATGCACGCTTTGTCTTACTTTCGTAACCCCGGGACCTTGTTATTTTTATTTCCGTGTACACAGCATCGGCATAAACGCTTACCCACTAGTGTTTATGGCAACGGAAGTCCGTATCCTATTAGGTTTTGTACCGCATGTACTGTACATCTCAGGAAAAACAGAATGACAACATATTAAACTCAAATATAACTGCAGTATATATAACTGGGGAGAAGTAACATTTATAAAACTAGAACAGCCAAGTTAATTACACATGTAGTGGTGATCTATAGGGGTGGGTCGGAGTAGCAACCGCCGACTATAATGTAATGGGGCAAACAATAATATATGGAATGCTAAAGTTCCTAAATTTACTCACAAATTTCCTTAGAATGCAGGAGAATGCATCATAGATTTCAACATTTTCCGGGTAAGATGTGTGAGTATGTAAACACCGGCAATCGTCACGGTGGAACTAGGACAAAAGGGTTAGGGCACAAACAATACGTCCACGATTGACCGAACGTCCACGATTGAAATTCGTGAACAAAACCAAGAGAGCTGTTGCTATAACGTTAGTACAAACAAAGGAATAAGAAGTACAGACACTCGGGGGGTCCACGATTGCCGGTGTTTACAAAGATGGGTGTGTGTGCGTCAGTTGTGGGGGGGGGGGGGGTTCCCTCCGGACCCCCTAGCTAGGCATGCCTTCACTACCCCCCTCCTTCATATCAAACCTCCCGTTTCCTGAAAGCCAGATTCACCCCTGTCTTGAATGGAATAATTTTTTTTCATGAACAGGCTGGTTTATAAACGGAGCAAGTGAAATATGCTTTTACAATTACAAGCGTAATTGAAATTGACATAGCCTGGTCGGTTCATTTCATATGAATGGAAAACATAGATGTTTCCCATAGACGTGCACAGATGTTTTGGCGATAGTCAAGATGAAAGAAACGCTTTTAGGATGAGTCATGTGATGTATTTCATGTGTTTATGGTGCAGCCAATGGACCTCATCTCGACAAGTGCAGTGTACAAATCAAAGGAGGAATCCCCAGAACGTTTGAGTAGACACTATAGAAACAGAAAGACACAGTGGAAAGTCATTGGTATAATTACTTTGATGTGTATTGGTCGGGGTAGCAGATTCCATACTTTCATGTGGAACAAACAAGTCATTACGCATGTCAAAATTCTTTCTGATGCTATCACGCCCCATTTAATGTGGGAGTTTGTTTTCTTTTCGGATGAAGAATGAAAATGTTCATGAGTTCAAATCGACAACATGTCTCTCTTAACCAAAAGAATCTTATTTAAACGACAAAAGAAACAACCCAATCGACAACATGTCTCTTAACCAAAAGTATCGTATTAAAACCACAAAAAACCACCAAAACAAACAATCCCAGCTCGTCGTCATTACAACATTTCTACTCTCTTGAACAGCAGCAGGCCTATGTGCACCATTCAAACACTTTTACTAAGGGAATAAAATGTGTTTGGCCGGTTTTAAATACTCTGTTTACTGAAATCTGGATGCTGACAATTACCCGAGCCGAACCCATTCATAAGTGCTTTTCGGTAAAAATAAATCAAAAATGTTGTCAAAAAGTCAAAACAAGTCAACATTTATAAATTTCCAATGATTTTTCTCGAAACACCCTGTAGCTATATTTATGGTAGTTTCCATGTCGTAAACAACTCGCGTTATGCGCGATGTCGCGCCAAACGCAGCTGTGCCGATGCATTGTGAATTTAGGACTATGGAATATTGACTCACTGGTAGTATTGCGCATGCCTACGTGCGCATTGTGAACGTTCAACCAATAAAATAGTAACTAATAGGTACCGGATTTCAAAGGAGTCCAAATTTCACGTGACATGACACTGGAAAAGTGTTTAAGACCAGCCAGCCGGTCTTTATCAACCGTTTACGGACTCTCGACCAAACGTGACGGGCTCTCGACCAATAGGAATGGGTAAACTGTCTTGGGTATTGACGAATCTCCTATAGCATGCACAGATATTGGTATCAGATGCAGTCACATATGTTGCTCATGGACATAATACTTCTACGCTTGATTCAAACTTCAGTGATTTTCGAGACAGTCTCTGAAGGTAATGAACCCTTGGACCCGCCACATCATGGATAGCTCAACTAATAGGAGCAGGCAGCTCGACTTGCAGACGTTATTGTGTTGTCACTTGGGCACCTCAATTTGATGGCTATACTGCAGCTGGCCAAGCTGTGGCTAAAGTGTGCCGTGCACTGACTCACAATTCGGCTGAAAGAATAAGGCCAAAGCATCAACTACGATGACTGGACCTCCTGTTTTTCTCAGAAGAACCTTCGACAAGTCACAATTTAATTTGCCATTTTACAACAGCTCATCTCGATAAATAGACCAACCCGGGAACGAAGGCCCCTTCAATGGATAAAGCATTGTGCTAGCTATTGTTCAGATAATCCGCATTGGGCAGTAGCTTTGCACAATAGCTTGCACAATGGTTTCGCCATTGAAGGGGGCCTCGTGTGTGTAAGGTGATCACGTGATTGGATTCGTCAATATGCATCGACGATACCGATAGTACACCTTAAGGGGTCGGGTTTGCGCAGACATACTTTTCTCGCATTCGTGTTCGATCGATCCAATTCCGTGACCCTGCTTCGATTCCCACCCAGGCCGAAAATCGTGTGCGTTGGGTATTCAGTCCCTCCCTGATTGCGTGGGATTCCCAGGGACTATATTTCCTTGTTTATCACCCACGTCTAAAACTAATAAACAAAATGTTCATCGTCTTTTATCTCTGGGTATATATAGCTCAGCTCACCTGTTTCATCTCTTTAAAATAAGAAGAATAACTTCTACATGCTTTCGTGGATTTTGATGAAACTTGGATGCAGTGACCCTTGGGTGAGAAGACACAATTCTTCATCGGATTACTGAGGTTAAAGGTCATGTAGGGGTCATTTGAGGTCATTGATCACATAGGCCTATGCTTCAAATGCCTTTGCACTTTCAGAGACGGTCATTTTCAGAAATCAGTCGGGGATCAAAAACAAAACCACTCAGGAATTGGGATGGACAAGTCCTGTCACGTTCGGTTGTGGTTGGATTTTTTTGTCTGTATTGTGTGAACCCGGCTTTGAAAGTAAATATGCATCAACAACAAACACAATGTCATTTGGGTGAGTGGCGCGGAACTAATTATATATTCACCTAAAACGATCAACAACAAAGCAAAATAAAGTGCACGTTATGTGGGAATCAAAACCAATAATTTCCTGAATACAAGTGCAAACATGTCAGCAATAACAGCTTTTAACATGTTTTAACATGTCTAACCAAACGGCGAGTGGTAAACCAGATGTGCCAGTTCCGTTAACACTTATTGTGTCTCCTAAACGAATGTTTTTGTTTCCCCGTATCCCCATATCCCCGTATGGTTAAGGTTTAGGTTAAACTTTTGAAAAAGAAACAAGTGCCAGTTCATAATAAGCTCTGGCGAAAATTGCGACGTCGATATGGAACACCATACTCCTGGATACCGTCCAACCACTACAAAAATACCACGTGACTATAACATTACTGCACATATCTTGCCTCCGTTTACAAAAATTTAATAAACAACTTTACGCATTGTTACAAACAATTTTTTGAGTGCATTTACTGACGACGGCACGGCATTTGCTCAATTGATGGTCAAATGTGTTTAGTCAATTTTCGTGGAAAAACAGACAGATCGACCGACCCACCGACCACCAAGTGACATGTAGCAGCTCCTGCCAGAGCTGAAAAATGTATAGTTTCTACATGCTTTCATGGATTTTTATGATTTTATGAAACTTGGATGCAGTGACCCTTCGGTGTGAAGACACAATTCTTCATCGGATTACTGAGGTCAAAGGTCATGTAGGGTAATTAGAGGTCATTGTTTAAATATGCTTGAAATGTTTCTTTGTCTACGGAATTTGATGGATTTTAATGTAACTTGGGTGGAGTGATCCTTGGGTGGGGGTTCATGACAACTCTTCAGAAATTGGAGGTCAAGGGTCATCCAGGGGTCAATTGAGGTCATAACTCATGATGGAAAAAAAAGAGGAATAAATACATTCCAGGAGCAAAGCAGTTCTTCCACTGAAAATGAACAGCTTCTGCAAGATTAAGAACACAAAACATGTAGAGATCGACCAGGAAAAAAGGCGACACGTGCGATCCGCGGATCACCTTGTTTTCTTTGCACACTGAATTTAATAAATATTGAAAAATCATGCATTGAAAAAACCCTTTGAAGCCCCTCGTTAGTAAACTCTTGATTATCTTAATCTTTATAAAGGGCTTGAGGTTTAGGTGGATACAACATGACTCATAACTACGATATTACTACACAATGTCGGCGATTAACTACTTCTTCCGCTTCGAGTATAAACATTGTTTGGAAGCTGGCAAGATAAATTGCGGCCTGTCATTTTTGTCATCGTGTCTTGACAACTAGGTCATAGTTTGGGATGGGGGAACGGTTGGGAATGATCAACTCTGTCACAACTTCAGCCTTTCAAACTACATTTTACAAGACACCGTTTACACTGTATTGTTGTAACATGTGATGGATGGTTGGTGTACGATCCTGTATAAGAAACATATGGCAAAGAATATTGTAGTCAGTGAGCAGAATCAATAAGCGCTGGAAATAAGGAAAACATGTCTGTCGTCGTATAAAATCTAACAGTGAAATTTATTAAATACTGTACAGGAAGGTGAACACAATTTTAAGAAACATTTAAGAGAGAGACAAAGGAACGCGTTCTTGCTGACGACTTCTATGCATGATTCACATACATGTACACATGTACTCTAAAAAGGAATTTTGAACGACTTTACTTTTGGTGCTTAAACGGCAGATTCTGTAGCTCAGAGAAATGAAGGAACCTCATAACAGACATTGAAGATCTGATCAGTAGAAGAGGTGGGAGGAAAACCCAAAATGTATATTTTGGAGGAAATCCGTATGTGTATACCTCGGTGAGACGAGGCCGAAAAGTACAAGTTTTGCAAACAATTTAAACTGTTTCTGAGACTAACTTACGGAGTTGAGACTGCACCACTCAAAGTAATCCTTCTCCTTTTGTGTTTTTCTAGATAATTAATTTGTTGGTTTTCACTTTTCAGCCTCCACAGGAGTGGAAACTTTCGAAGGCAGTGGTACGGGACTTCCACCTTTCCAATGCGGCAACTCAGGCTGGTCCATCCAACAGACAAGCGAAGGTAGGTGACAGGTGCCTCTATAGTGAAGCTAAAACAATGACTACACAAAACCTCCATAATACCATGCTTAGAACCGACTTCCGTTCGTCAAAACAACAAAGAAAACCACAGGATATATATAAGTACTTCAGGTGTCCAACAAATATAAACTATTGTTAGTAACAATACATGTTACTTTGGTAAATCTTTGGAGCCGTTATTCAAGATAACGAACATTTACAAAACAAAATTGTAGAGAATTGTTCATAATAAAGCTTTGGTTTTACACAATACCACAGAAGAGTGGAAAGGGGTGGGAATGTTGGATGTAAAACTAATGCAATGAGTAGCGAAACGCCAGCTATGCAGGGTTTCGGTGTAGATTTGTAAATAAACTGCCACAGACACAAATGATACACTTCTATGTTTTGTGACCTTGACGGATAGTTTGAGTTCTCTTTAAATACACAAAGTCACATCAGTCCCCAATCATATCGAGCTTGTGCTCTTCTTTTAGACCCTCCTCAGCTCCTTTTTAACTTTAAGGCATCAGATTGCATCACTTCAAGACCTGCTTCAATGGTGACTTTTTCCATTTTGAATTTTGTACAGGAAATCTGGCATTCGTCACCTGCCCGTCCAAGTGCTCACATAATGTGACCGTCTTGCGCGGATCGTTCACAAACTTCGGCACAGCCACGGTGTCCTTCAACTACGCCCTCAACGTTGGAGACGCTACCAGTCTGCAAGCCAGCCCAGTTTTGAGTGTGTATTGCGAGTCCCGTTCCGTTGTTCGTCTGTGGACTTCATTGCAAGGTGGTGCTGCCAATGGAAGTTGGCAACATGCCGAAGTCAAAGTTAAACCTCCCGGTCGTACATTCAACGTAAGCTTTCTTTAGACAGTCCATGTTATTTTTTTTGGCAAAACTGTAGTGAGGTTCTATAAACAGGACAAAGTTTAATACTGCGCATGGTTATACTGTAGGCTTACAGAGTGTGGCGAAAAAGTGCAATATTCGATCGGCTCAGAAAACAAATACTTAATACTGTTCAATTTTTTTCTTCAATAAAATTATATATAATTGAAGCCGGACTATTTTTCAATCCACTCCTTTTTACCCCATTCTATTTGGGTCCCTAGATCCAGAAATACAATCAATTAAGTGAAAGGGGGTACATTTTTACTTGGGCCACTCACACATGGACATGCTGAATCTGGGTTAAGCATCAGAGGTGACATCAACTGTTTTAAAACAACGACGTGAATACCTAATGATTCATGATCTGTTTGTTTTCCAACGCAGTTGATTTTTGAAGCAAATATACAAGAAATCGGACAAGTCATAGGATTGGATAACGTGGTTGTTCAAGACGGAAAAAACAAGGGTAAGTTTTGAACTTTTGCTGCAGCAGATAAAAGATGGGCTCCACAGGGTGGTGCAAAAAGTTTACCGATTTCCAATATTTTATGAGACATGATGTTGATATTGTGCTAAAATATTCCTAAACTACAAGATCTTGGTCGTACATGGTGAAAACGGCGTCGAAAACAAAGCTCACGTTACGAAATAGCGGCCATTTACAGAACAATGGTCAAAAACTAGTTTGTCCACGTCTATGGCAGTCATGTAGACCTCATTAAAATTATTGCAGTTTTTTGTGCGTGCAGTGCTATCGTGTTGACCATATCTCATAGACGCATGTGGACAAACTGTTTTTTTTTTATACCATCTTCCTTTAAATCATCGCCATTTCTTAATGTATGCTTTATTTTAAGCACCGTTTTCACCATATACCACGAAGATGCCATATTTAAGGAATATCTTAATACAATTTTCAAATGTCTCCCCAAGTCCAAGAAATCTGCGTCTGAAAAATTGTAAACTTTTTTTTGGATCACGCTGTACATACATTCCACTTTGTAAGAAGTAACAAACGCGATGAAAGCGGCCATTATTTTGCATAATATTCAACCGTGATTGCTAACATTTACAGATTCGACCCAATGTTGACTGACTAATGTGCAGTTTTAATAGCTAATAATTATGGTTGTCATTTATAGTGCCTCCGGCTCCTACGATCCCGCTGGCGTATCCTGCCAATTGCTTAGAGGATGGACGTCCAACATATATTCCAACTGACGGGGACCAGTCTACATCTCAATCGACAGGTAAGTTGTTGAACCACATCATCCACATGCTTGTTTGTGGATCGACAACCTATTAGCTGCTGTGAATCATCGTTCAGCTTCCATTAATAATTGACATCACCGTGATACCCAATACAAGGCCTAATTACTTGATTTAAATGGGCTACGGAATTCCAATTAAAGTGAAATAATTCAGCAACGATGCCACCGTGCAACCAAAAAGGAAAATATTTTAAGGATCTTTAGATGCGCTGTGTTAATACCTAAGATAACTCTAAAATAAAAACAAAGCAGAGGTTTCTCTTAGTTCAAATCATTTTTTACCAGTGTTTTCACTTCCACATTCTTCTACTTTTAACCACTTGCAATCAGATGAAACGACACCATACCCTTCAGATGTCTCCCCAGAAAATACCTTCGGACTCCTTGATAATGGTGAGTTACTCTTAATTACACAAACGAAAAACTATATTCTATTGTAAAATACTTCTGTTTTCATCTTCGGCATTTTGCAGTGCAAAGTGAGTCAGACACAGGACGTCCTAAATCTACTACTGTTATGTAGTTCATGAGTGGAATGTTGCCTTGTGGTTAGGCATCTGAGGGTCAGGGGTTCGAATCCAGCTTCTGACCACGTTTTGTATCCTTTTAGACAACAAAATGGATATACCAAAACTAGTTGCAAACTAACCTGCACTGGGACTAGCATCCCTTTCAAGGATATAGAAATAGACCGCGTACGAATCTCATCTCGAGCTAGTGTCCAGGTCTTCGTCAATTACGACTACGTGGGAACATGCTGACACTAGACGTAACCATGGCACTGGACGTATGTTTCGGACATCGCAATATTCTCTGGTTACATCATGCCATGGATCACACTGACTCGAGACTGATTCCAATAAACTGAGAAAAAGGCGTTCCTATGAATCGTCATGGATACTCTCACATCTTGCCAAACTGCTCATGACATACAACTGATATCATTTTGGGTATGAATTTCTTTACAGAGACGACGCTGCTGTTTGCTCAGATCTTGGCCATTCTTTCTGTGTGCGTTTGCTTCATAACCGTCGGCATTCACTGCCTTATTTGGAGAAAACAAAGGTGAGAATCGAATAACTTAGCTACAGTTACACCACTGCCAAATCCATCTAAGAAGGCACACCTTTTCAGGTCAAAACAACGTAGTGATATGTCATTATTAGTTATCTTACGGCATCTACTCTAAAGTCAAGTAACTTTTTAAATGAAATAAGGCAAAGGCACTTCTTTGTAAGTCCCTTGTTTTGGGCTTGACTTAATATCTGTTATGAGTGACTTGTGAATGACTCAGTATCAGCGTCACACACCGTAAACCATATTTTTTCAAACATACACCTTCTATAAAAAGTTTGATTATATCAAGAAAACTTAAATGGACAACTCCTAGATTTGTACTTTGCACGATAAGGAACGGCACCAATTACATATGGCGATTACGGGCACTGTCTCTTGCATCTTCATCAAAATATATGTAGGGGACACTGGCATGTCTCCCTGGGCAAAGACCGTGTACAAAATGGCACAAACGACGGCCATGTTCGAATAACACTGTCAAAAGAAGATAAAGAATGTCAAAAAATGCACTTGCCGAATGGGACTTTGTCACTGAGTGCCAGCTTCTTTTTCTGTATACAGAAGACTCCACAAAATTTCAAGTGTTGTTCATCTGCGGCCTAAAGCGACATCAGACGTGCCCCACGACAGCATGCTGCTGGAAATGAACCTGGTTGCTTCAGACCAGCCGGACCAGCCAACCAGCAACAGCCTGTGCGAACCCACAAAAACCAAATGTCTGCAGCAGCTGAAGGAATCAGACATCCTGCAAAAGCAAGATCCTCGTCGAGCAACCATTGCCCACGGGGCATCCGGGTCCATGGCACACCACATGGCGAAAGACGGTAGCGAGGATGACGACAGTGATGATGAGCAACAGCTCCCTCACCCGAGGACCAAAAGCCTTCCCTGTCGACCTCCCGTCAACGTCTACGAGTCTATCGACGAGGTCGGGAAGTATCAGCCGCTGACCTTCGGTAAGCGGCCCGCACCGGGCCCACCAGCGCCTGTGTTACCCAAGGGAAGGAAGCTGCACACTCGCGCTCGTGGAGTCCAAAACCTCGCCGCCGTCAGGAAATACAGACCAAGCTCCGTGCAATACGAGGAGATAGGCAACCGCAAGAATGGATTGCTCATAGAGGAGCCCAGAGACCGAAGCAAGTCCGCGTCCCACTATGACTATGTGAAGCGGAAGTCGGTCCAGCAGAGTCCCCGACGTAACGGTTCGAAGCACGGCCAGGCACCTCGCCCCAAGGGTCGAGCCCCGGCACCGCCAACTAGGTTGTACGATGAGCCCGTGCGGAAATCAAGGCCGGTCGTGAAAGTCGACAGTGCACCGACCTTACTGCTTCAAAACCAGGAGTCATCAGCTGGAGAGAGTTTGCAAACAGACTACGAAAACACCTTGGAAAAACCAAAGGTTGTGTACGACAGACCGACAACAATCAGCGAGGAAACCGAGGCAAAGCCCCCAGGGGACTGCCAGTATTTCACGCTGGAGCCGCCCGCCATGGGACGATACGCAACCAGCGAGGATTCCGATGATGAGCACGAGAGCGAGCGGGACATCAGCCGGTTCGAGGACGCGGAAGAAACTGACCCGGTTCCAAATGGCACTGCGTCGATCGCACTGCGCCCTCTGTCGGCAAGTGTGCCTATTGATATACCCTCGCCAAAAGCACAAACGATGGCCGACTTTGACGTTGAATCTTCGTGTCTGTGAAGGAGTGTTCAAGTGGTTGGCAGTCACAGCTTGTCATCTGTGCGTGGCTATGGCTGGTCAACGCAGCAAGCAAATAGCACAATCTGAAGCCGGAGCCACAAAAGCCCGATTCGAATGCAGCCTTTTGAGAAACCTTTGACATTGCATTGGAACTGGCGAGTTTTATTGTCGCGATTGACAAAATGTTTTTAATTGCTGGATCAATAAAATCTTTTGTAACTGACGATAGACATCTCTTGAGTATTTTCGTGCAAACCAGAGAGCCTGCAAGCGGGGACAAACATGACTCTTTTTTTGTGTGGAAGGATTCATGAATATTTTCTATTTTTCAATCGAATCTTGAACAGCGCTATTTTAACACCTATGTTCATAGTGCTCGTGCGATAAAAAAACCCCCAGGATTGTATATAGAGGGAATACGTGCAGATTAACCACGAAGCCAGTTAAAATGTAAATAAATAGTTACATCAAATGGAACGCCTTGAAAACAGACGATAGAAAATTGAGAAGCCTGTGTTACCTTGATAAGTATTTCTGTAACTTATGTAAAGTTTTGAATTAAAGTTTAAAAATAACCTTTTCCGCGTTTTAATACTCAGATATCACCCAGAAAGATTTTTTTATGTGAATATATGAGAATCATAACTCTATATGAAAAAGATCCCATATATATGATCTAGCACCTTAAGCCTATGGTGTTTCTTGCGATAAGTCTCCAGTAATAAGGTACTTTCCGTCACAGCGGGTACTCGGAAACACTGAATGAGGTGTGTACGTGTTCCAATTACATCTTGTCAAACTAAATCTGGTTATGGATTAAAATTAAACAAGAAAAACAAAGGAAAAAAAATGGGCAACACTTCTAAGGATACATGTTTAATATTTTCAGTGTGTTGAGCGGATAGAAAGGTTTAACACGTTATTTCGGAAGAAAAGAGTTACTTCTTTTTTATAATTCAAGTTAGGTAATTAAGTTGTTTGCGCTTGCCGTAATTCGGAAAGATATTTTTGGTTAACATATATACAGCACTTAAAGTGAAAGTTTCATTTGATTAAGGACTATTTTAAGTTTTTATGTGTAAAGATGTCTTTGCATTGAGATTAACCAAGGAACTGTAGATAAAAACAACGATTGGAAACTATAGATGACCATTGTGTATTTCATTTATTTTATTGTAGTTGAGCAAATCGTTAGTAACTATATGACAACTGTTTATACGCACACAGCGGAAGGTAAGGAAACTTACCTTTCCTAATACGAAATACCCCTATTTGTCGACACTGCAATTTCGCGATCCTTACTGGCGGCCATCTTGTCTAAAAATAGCACCTGTTAATTCACATCCCGTCTCTCAAATGTCTCCCAGCCATAACAAGGACTGACCAACCAACTTGGCATAATAACAGGAAACCTATTTAGAGCAGTGCCTGACATTGCAGTGCCTTCTAAGGAAGCGCCTTAAGAAAGCGCTGAGCTTTGACATTGTGAGGCTCAATTTAAAGCTGTGCTAGGATATGTTGAACAAGCTTCTTGATCCTTGTTAAGTAAAGCTAAGAGAACTAATTCCCTGCTTTGCACATAGATGACAGTGCAATAAAGTTAAGTTACGATGTTAGTTTTCAGTGCTGAGATTGAGCAACACGCTAGTTATGATGAATTAAGAAACTGTTACAAAAGTATCTGCGTTTTTTTTAATTTATTTTTTTGACCTGTGTGTCCATTTTGTCACCTCTATCGACTGTATTGATTTGGGTTGTTTCGTGACATTTGTTTGCAATTTCCATAACGAACCCAAAATGGGACAACTTATAATTATAAACTGGAACATCTGTGATAAGTTTGAAAGTTCAAACATTGCCGATACATTTTTCGAAGAGGGAAATCAATTTTTATTTAATTGTGTACATTATTTTTGATCATTTTATTACATAATTATCAGTCTCTGAGCAAACGCAACCTGTAATACAATGAGCCGATATTTACGCTTTTTAAGTGTGTGCGATCTTAAACAAGAAATAAAACAAGAATTATCCCGTCTGCTGAAGACGAACAGAGGAAACCCATCGAAACGTCGGGTTGTGAAACTGGCTCTTTTCAAAACTCCACAAACTCAAAAAAGATATTTGAGTTATGCCTTACATGGTGTTACCACAAGCCCCATACCCATGAAACCTATGAGTTGGAAATAGTGTTCTAGGGCCAAAAGTACGCGATTGTTTCCCTAACGTTACCCCACATATGTTGCCATGAACTTATCATGCCTGCCGTATGTGTCGTAAAGTCGATCCGAATTCATGATTAGAGACGAAGTATGGACAATGTAATTTCATTCTTGCGTTACCTGTGCTTTTCTAAAAAAAATTGTTTTATAAGTTGTAAAGCGACTGCATAACACTTTCGCAAAACCTTATGGTGACATGGTGCACGGAAAGCACTTAGAAACGAAGGAAACAGAGACATCAAGGAAGCATGTTCTACGCTGATAAACCGCAAGGGCACCTGTCGTACCGTTCCATTTTGTTTTCAATGTAACACGTGACGAAAACGAACGATGAATAACGCTCATTTGACTCGGTTTTCATGTTCGACGAGGGATCCTCGGCAGCTGCTCCGCTCTGTCACGAGGCCAGGAGGTGATTCATCGATGTTGTGATTAGAGTAGCTACTAGGTCCTACGAGATCTACTCTTCCCATCTTGGTATAACCAAATAACACGAGCAGTTTTGGAAGTAAGAATATACTTTGATAATTCCCGCTGATGTTCATGTTATGCACGCGGATGTTCAAAAGAGACTGCTTTCGCGACATGCACTTTATTTCATACGTTTCCTTAAATCAAAATCAAAGACTTCGCTTTGAGGATGCATGCAGTTAATCAAGGTTTTTTAATTAAATGAAAGTTCTCTCTACCGTTTGAGATAGGGTTGAGCATTTGCATGTTTACACAATGTAAACATGTAAAGAAGAGGAAAATCATTGCTTTTTCATTGAAAACGGACCATCCCCGTACTTTGGGTTCTGATCATGCCGAACGTATACGGGTTTCTGGCAAGTGTCTAATTTAAATACAAAAAAATACAAGCGTGTAAATAAGTACAGAAGGCTTTCTTCGAGTGGACAGAAAACTTTAACAGGCGACATAGAGCACTAGGGTTTCTATCTCCCTTGATTAAATTTGTAATTGAAACAATGGACATCTGGGCCGGAAGTCCGAACCCTGGCTCGAGAAAGGTCTGAAAACCCCGGATGTTTAAGGGTTAAACAAACACAGATGCCAGTGAATCCACAGCCGTGTATGACAAGTCTAGGATGAACTCCCAGGCCCCTCTGACTGAACCGCGGCGCACAACGCAGCCGATGATGTCACCCTCATTGCCCCCTTCCTGCGCAGGGCAGCCCTGATCGACGGACTGTAGGGCACAAAGCACTCGCTGCTGTGCACCGTAAAGTCAACTCCAATATCTCCACGCCTTGGGACGACCGCAGGGACTTTTATACTCGGTCCAGTAAGGCCGGTGCGTTGGATGGCGGTGCGAGCAGAGCTGAAGCCCGCCGGTCTTTGTAATAACCACTGGATTAGTTGAGCAGGCTGGACATCTTTGACGCAAGCTGAATTTTTAATTTGCCAGATGGAAATCAACAGAGCTTTTGTGGCACTCCAGCCCCTGTTATTTGTGCTGGTCGTGAAGAGGTGTGAAAGTGACCAAGGTAATTATGACATCTTATTTGTTTCAGAAGTAACAATAACGTTCGTCATATTAAAACAACTGTATCACTGTCATTGCTGTAAAAAAATCAGTGAGCAAAATAATAATGACATTTCAATAAAACATTACAATTTTTTAGATTTTTTTTTTGGGGGGGGGCATAATTGCTTTGGGCATTTTTTTTTTGTCACTGAAATTCACTTGTTTATGTTTGCCTGTATTTTGAGTTTATTGATAATGCCTAATGCTCCACATCCAGTGTAGTTATTTACTAAGCTACCGGTACAATGCTATACCTATATCAACTTTGTACTCGTGTGAGTGTAGGTGGAGGTGTTTTATGTCATCTCTCGCAAAGAGGTCGAGAAGAGGTAGATGCTGGGAAGTATACGATTATTATCATGCTGTTGCTTCCCATGCATGGGTGGCAAGTAGACTGAACTGGACATTTGCCAGGAATTGTAGAGGGTATATAATTTTCTTGTAGGCTTTATTTAGTAATCTTTTCTAAATACAACGGGAATCAATAGTTTTGATTGGCCTTCTTAACGAGGTTTACTGAGGCGAGTATACGTCCACCGGTTTAATGGACGCGTCAAAATCGTTTTTCTTCAGAAGGCATAACCCTACACAAATACACTCAAGAGACAATGCGTAATCCACTCTAAACTGACCCATTCTATTACAAATGGGTTCTTAATACTGCAGATGTTCCCTTGAACGATCGAGTATAACTGAATGATTTCCAAGGGTCAGTATGCGCAGTACCGCGCAGGTTGATCGGGGAAGTTTTCCCACGAAACTGGCGCGCCTGTAAAACCGGACTCGTCTGGAGATCCAGACCTTAGCCTGCCCAGCCCCATATAGCAGATTTTGACTCTATGTTCCAGACAAAAGACTAGACGAATATGCACACACTGTTGAAGAGTACAGGACGCCCATTCTCGATGCGTGGTAAAATACGTCTATCGTATATTCTAATTGGCAGACAGGTCGCGCGGTATCTATAAATAGAGGAACTTAGATGTTGTGTCAAGCTTCGCTAAACATTCTTGAAGTCACATCCCCGTCGTAATTATGTGTCCGTTTCTCACACCGGCACACTGTCGCAGATAATGTTGTATCAATGTTACAGTTGCTTAAAACATTAGTCAGAGACAACTGATCTAGTCATGTTCAGTACGGGTAAGACTAGAGGTTCATTGTGTCACAAGGAAATTTGATTTCTACATTTTTACCAAAATACTTGTACCGGAAATAAGGTTACCTGAGTTCACGCAAAGGTGGATGCTTTTCTCCCCAAAAAACAAAAATTCAATTTCAATTCCAACAGTTTCTTTTTTTAAAGGCTTCCTTCATGAATGATCGCCATGAGAATGTAGAACCCTGTAAGTGTATATTATTTTCACGTACTATTTTCTTTGATAGCATGACTATTATAGCAAAGCTGAAATTCAGCACGTTAACACGGAACAAGTAAAATTTCGACGATCTTCCGTAAGCTGAATCTGACACGAAATTAGGTCCTACAATATGACACTGTCGTATTCTTGTATCACATTCCATCAAGGGTCGCATTTTCGCAGTGCACTGCAAAAACTGCAGTGTTAAATTTACACTGTTGGTATCTTTATAGGACCATCTGGTATTAAATTTTACTGGTGTTGTCCTATATAGATACCGAATGGTGTTAAATTAACACTACAGTTTTTGCAGTGCGCAACTTAAGTTCCACGTGGACGACAAAATTAGTCTCGTAAACTGCAATGTCTATTTCGTATCCACACACAAGATACGGTGTTCTTCATGATGTAGTCAGTGGCTTTGTTTGCAGGGAACTTCAAATGGTCTAAAGTTATTTGCTATTGCTTGCTGATGGACTCTGACTTCTGTGTTATGGACATACGATGCAACCTGCCAATGCCGTCAATTCAAACGGTTCACGTCATTACTTTTGCATATGATATTAATTGGACTTTACAGACTTCCGCCGGGTGTCCCAATGGAGAATATTGGATGGATAATTAATATACCCAGCTAGATATGAGACGGAGGGGTACCCCCCCCCCCAATCTCCCTATACCCTATGCAAACCCTAGACTGTTGTTACCTAACACATCCCCCTAGATATCTTAAAAAGAATTCCTGAGATTCTGGTAACATAATGACCAACACAAAGGGGGGGGGGGTGGGTTCCCTCCATCTTTTACCGTGTTACATATGATAATTGACGACGAGAAAATCAGAACGTGACCGTCTCTAAAATTGATTATACCCGACTCTTACCAAACATTTGCCGGTCATTTTATACAAAAAAAGCCAGTGTGACCACAAAAAGAAGGATAACGGTAAATTGCCATTTTATTGATATGTGAATTCTAATAGGAGCCAAATCAGTCATTCTAATAAATCAGACGCGTGAGAGCCTCCATTTTTTGGACATAGGGTTAGGTTGGTACGAACAAGTTTTTTTTTTATGAAACAGCAGCTTTCCATCTTCTGCAACAGCCTTCTTGAACATTTTTTTTGCAGACATAGGGAAGGCGAGGGGTGCTAATCGAGCAAAATCTGGGCTGAGGGTGTCCAGCTGCACCGGCACTCCCTCCTGGTTACATCACTTCATATTGAAGGTTTCAACCTTTGAAAAGAACCATTGCTCATACTGAGGTCTTCACCTTTCAAAAGGTCGAGCATGTTAGGACGTCTGTCCAGGGAGACAACCATGCCTTTCTGATTTTCATCACTCTTGAAATGTGTCATGTTTTGGAGATTATGATCGAGGTTGCCCAATCTAGGGTGATGTCAACCGAAATCATCACGTGCCGTAGGCTCCACGTGGCATAGACAACATTCACTGAAGGACAAAGCTTCACATCCAGAGACAATGTTTTGACTTTTGTTTTTAACCTTCACAAGAACGATCTCTCAATACTTTTTTTCGAGTTTCAAAATGTGTCAAATGCATAGAACTTAACCGGAAATGCAATTATTTAGGGAGATAACTTCTGTCTGAGAATTACCGATGCCAGAGGGCGTGATACTTGAAACCACAAGGTGGTTAGTCATCAAACGGGAAACGTAACCCGAGAAACGAGTAAGGGTAAAAGCCTCATGATTTTTTGACATATTTGCTGTAGAGGTTATCGAAGTCTTGGTTGGGCACTCGCCATAGGTCATTTTAGAGAAGTAAAAACAGCAGCAGTTAGTTTTCTTCCAAACCTTTCGGAGAAAATGGGCACAGATATGAAGAGGAGCTCGACAAATCTATTCGATATGTCTTTCTTTTCATTCTTTAACCACGAAACACAGATACCTTCTTGTATCTTTTCTGGCAATGAAGAGAAATTTGCACACTGGCATAGGAAGGTTGCAGGAACGGTTAAAGAATATTATCAAGAAATTCTCATTGTGACAGGTGGAAGGTAGAACCTGAAATGCATTCCAGGGAAAATTGAACTCCAGAAAGAAACTCACGGAACCAAGAAGGGACCTGAACACGCAGCCAAATTGTTGGCCCTGGAACCGAACTCCGTTCAAACTGTAATTGTTAGTATGCATGCTTTGCACTCGATACAAGTATCTTCAGTTTCGAGTGGCATGACTGAAAGGTAATCTGTTGAAGATCTGAGATATAATTACTCACAAATCTCGTGTCACATCGGATAATGTTGTTAATGCCAGATAGAAAGGCGAATTGGCAGAGACGTGGCAAACCCCTTACTCGAAAAATTGGAAGTCATAAAACTAATCAATTGTTCCGGTTCCGAACGTTACTACAGATTTCAACTGCATGCTTTTGATGTGACTTCTGCTTTGCACATAAGATTGCTCTGCAGTGTTTTGCACATATAAGCCTAATGCCTTCCTGAAATTTCGGCATATTGAACATCTTGGCAAACACAATATAATGTGTTTGCCATAAAGATCTTGACCTTTGATTCATAAAGCGTTTTGCAATCAGCAGTCTTCTTCACCCCCAAACCATCTCAAATACCACAGTTGACATGACTTTTTTTCGTGAAAATTTCCTCAGCGAAAACGGCTGTACATTTCGTACTAGGCCTACTTTCATTTTAAACCTACTATTCTTACAAAATACCCTTACACCAAGGGGCAAATTCTGCCTGTCTCCAAGGGTAGGAAGTTTGGCGTCCCTTGAATTAATCTGGGCCCTTAGATCGTCAGCTGAGAAGGGGTCAGACTACTCGGCCGGATCAGCCGGTGGTCAAACCCCCACTACCCCTGTATTGGTTGACAGTACCGGTGTCGTTTTTCCTTGGACAACTTGGGAAATCAACTGTTGTTCAACAATGACACATATTGCCTGGAGGACGCCGGTGGAGAGTTCGAACCAACTCGCAGAGGTGACATTATCAATCACCATTGTGGAAACGGCGGACAGTGACAAAGGAAGGCCAAAGACGAATTATGGTTTAAGGCCCTAGAATCAGACCGCATTTTGTAATGTCTCAGGGAGATACAGCCGTTGATGAAAGAGCAGACGTGATGCCCGCTGTTTCCGGATGATATATTCATTATTTTTTAACCCTCTCCGGAGCGAGGTTGTGACCGTCTGGGGACTTGAGTGGGGGACATTGTTCTCCCCTAGTTTCCAAAGTTTTTTGACAAGTTATTTTTAAAATAGGGGAAAAAGTAGTTTGGCCAGAGACATACTACTTGGTTGCGCTGTAACCACTAGGGAGCCTAACCACTCTTTTGTCAAAATTGAATAATTTGTTTGGTTCAGTTTAAACAGTATTCATTTGAAGTAATGCTTTCAAACCTGGTACAGATAATAAAATTAACTAGACAATATTTGGCAGTCAAGTCCATCTTAAAGAGGTGATTTAACTAATTGGAGAGAACATGTTTGAGTTACAATAATGTCAGACACTCTTCGACTTTATCTCTCTCAATCCTTCAACGCCATGACTCTTCAAACTCTCAATCAAGAAAAGGTTTACCGGAATGTCCAAATGTCATCGGGCTCGCACAGGCAAT